CCCAGGTACAGTACACAACTGGGTAGCAGTGTGGCTTGACTGTATATCACTTTCGTACGACCCATCCTTCGAATTGTGTGTCGATGCCATCGATGTCACCAGTCCGAGGTGCAGCCTAAGCAGAAGCCGCATAATGGCAAGTATGTCCTGGCTTTCCGCGTGGACTACGCCTTCTGTCCGCCTGGTACTGTGATGCAGGCTCTGGGACTGGGTCCTCTGGCTGCTGTCTGAAAATCCCCCTTTCTCCCCTACGCCGACTATAGCTTATGACTCTATTGACTACTTTGACTGCGAACATCGCCGTCGTCGGCCGTCGGGCCGTCGCCAAACAACTTCTTTCTTCGTTCAGAAGAGGCCCAGCCCCTTCTTCTTAATGGGATGTCAGGACGTGTTTGTTTGTTCTTTTGTTTGTCGTGGTCAAGTGCTACAGGCACTAAGTATGAATTGATATATATATCTTACCTCTTCAGAAACTCCGAAAGTATGCGTCAGCCTTTCTAAAGCCTCGATATAGCAATTCTGCTCACTGCCCGCCACGGGGCATACGATAGCCTTGCTCAGATAGCCTCACGTATCTGAATTCATCACATGTTCATATACCCGACAGTTTACATTATCGGATAGAGTTCTATACTTGATGGTTACACAAGAGGAGTAAGGATGGAGATTTGAAATAGCAACGTAGAACGGCTTACGGCTTGCCTCCAGTGTGACCTTCCTACTTTAGCTATATCAGTTGGAGAAACAAAAACAGGCTCCCATGTTCTTGTGGTAGCTGTTAAGGATGTGGGAGGATGTGTATGTGCATTGGATCCAGCTGTCGGCCATGGGAGGCTATCTAAGCGAGGAACCATCAATATGGCTGTAGCAAGTGGTGAGTAGCCTGGCTACCGAGGCATCAGGCCGCCGACAGCAATATCAAAAGTACATCGGGTGGTATGAATACTGGCATCATCCGGAGTTTACCAATCTTAGTAACCACTACAGGTCCCGTTAAATTCATTGTTATTCTCTTTAAACTCAAGCCGCCATCGGATCCCGCTTCTGCGTCGCCGCCCGGATACACCCCAGGAAGTACTCCTTCTCGTCCCCGGTGACCTCGTAGCCGCCCCACCGCCGCGCGAACTCCACCATATCCTCGTGCGTGCACGCCGCCTGGCCCCCCATGCTCTGGATCACCCCGCGCTCCAGCACCATGTACCGGGCCTCGTGGTCCCGCGCCTTGACGGCGAACTCGGCCCACACGAAATGCGCCCCGCCCGGCGCGCTGTTCACCACGAAGTACCCCTCGTGGTAGCCCTGCGTGTTCAGCCACACCAGGTCGTCGGACTGGTTGTACGCCAGGCACCAGTTCGGCAGCGCGGGGCCCGCGGTCTCTTGGCCCGTGCGGTGCCATGAGGCTGCGGAGGGGGCGAATGCGTTCCCTCTGAGATTAAGGTTAGTTGTGGTTGGAAAGGGGGTAGGGATTCTATGAGAGTAGGGTTTGGGTGAAGGGATGATGGGGTCTGGGCGGTGGTGAGGGCAACGTACAGATGTAGTAGATGCCGGTGCCCAGCGGGCCCAGGGCGACCTGGAGTTCGATTTTGTCGTTTTCGTTGAGTTGCGTCATTTTGGCTGACCTCGGTGGGATAAGTGGGTATTTTCTGGCTAGGGTCGAGTAGGGAAATGATAGGAATAATCTGGAATAGTCTTGCGTGGGATGAATGGTTGATGGGGATAGAAAGGGAATCTGCTGCGAGCGAGATAGCGCGGGATAGGCTCGTGATATTTATCACCCTCGCTTACCCCATTATGTCAGATCTCGCAGGACATGTACATGTAGATGTGATGCGTGAACGTCAGTGCTCTTGGCGAGGTTGGAGATCTGGTAGGGATTTGCGGAGGGCAGTTCGTGATCGGCGCTTGTGGCGTTGATCATGTTCAGCTCGTAGCAACCGGGGCGGCTGATAGTTCCGAGTACCTGCCAATGGCGCAGATTTAGAGTTACTGTGTAGTGTTCGAAGGAAGGTTACTAACTGGAACCCTTGTCGTCATGAGTGGGGCCTTTGTTCCGCTTGGGACGACAGCTGTCCCCCGAGGAGATTCTTCCCATCCACACAAACATCATGCATGTATTCTTCAACTGGCAGGTCAACAGATCGACAGCTGCCAGGTGAGTTTCTAGTGTTGTAAGTGGCTGAGAGCGATGGCCCCGTTCGCCGAACGATATTAAACAAGCCCGCGGGTATGGTACTGCCGATCGCCCCCCACTTAGGGCGGGGATGCGAGCCGACGTGGTGTTTGTTTACGTCACAATCAGTCCCCGGGCTCAGCTGTACAGTTTTGCTACTCAACGCTTGATCTCATATCGTGCAGATCATGTTGTCAAGGTTGGTGTTTGATACTCACATTGAATCCAAGAGAGCAAGAATATATGTAACAGCACGAGGCATGGGGATGCTCACTCAAGCCCGACCACAACATCAACCCGCACTCATCCGTCAAATGAGCATGATGCACACAACCAGTATTGAACAGTTCACGAACTACCTAGCACTGTATAGTGTATAGCCCTTCTCAGAAAAGATCTGAGACACAACTTCCGTATCATGCGTGCGCAACTTATCTTGGAAGTCCGCCTTCACCACACAACGGTTCTCGCCGCTACAGATAGCAGCCATGAGGCCCGCGCCTCTCCAGACGGAGATTTCGCCAGTCTCAGGCTCGACGAACCTAACTCCTTCAGCCACATCCCTGCTCATACCGGCAGTCATATGCTGCCTTAGACCAACCGACTCTTCCGGGTGCCTCATGTTTTCGGGCTAGAGAGTTAAGCCAACCGTGAGTGAGGTGATCAAGAAACCCATACTGGTATACATACCACGACGATATTGCCAAGCAAGACTTGCTTAACACCCGGATCAAAAGCACCATTGACGAGCACATCATGAGTAGCTCTCGTCAAAGAGGATGGCACCGAGGTCGAAGATCCCGCAACCACCCCGTCGACCACAGCGACAGGATAGGGCGACGAAGTCTCAAAGTTGACGGCGACCGCGGTCGTACGATTTGCGGCCTGCGCAAGCAATAACGCATCGGGCACGAACTCCAGCGCCGGAATGTGGAATATCTCGAACATCATCTGCGCCAGGTCGACTTGGGCTTGGCAGCTGGCTGTCGTGGGCGATATCGCGAGCAGGATGGGGTGGTGCGCCGGTGCGACCTGCAGGGCTTTGTACACGTATTGGAGGATCGCGGCCAGGCCCCCCGGTCAGATTTCGAGGATGGGGGGTCTGTGTTGGGTGGCGTTGTTTCAGTTAGGCCCTCCTTCCTTTTTGCCGGGGGGGGCTTTTCTCCCCAACTCAGGTTGGGATGGTGGGTGATTACAGTCCGCAGTCTTCGTTCACTGTTTATTGAAGGTAAGTGTACGTAGCATGGAAGATCAAGATCTTAAGGAGACGTACATATCACACGAGGGGCATCGTCACTGGCAAATCCAGCGTAGGTTCTACGCCGTTTGTGGTCAAATTGATATGCTTCGCTCTATCGGAATCGCAAGGGAATGTGATATGTAAGGAGAGCGTAGCATACCCGACTTCAATAATAATTGGTTGGGTTTGTCTGAATCGCAGGTTAGTAACAGTCCAGGTTCTGACCAGATGGTGAGAAATCACACAGGAGACCATGGTTGCAAGTTTGAATCCCGTGGTACGAATATGGAAGAAGCATCAAAGTCTTTTAGTACTGAGTAGGTACGTTGCCGAGCAGCAGATGCGGCGAATGGCTGCTTATTTATCTATATTGGACTATGTTTGGATTGTCGGTGAATGATTTCTGCCTTGTGGCGACAGTGCACTAGCCGGCTAGCCACGGTAGAATCAAAGATCTGATGAAACCCTATTCTTCTTGTTCTGGCGTCTGATCTTCGCTTGCCACGTGGGGATGAGCCCGCTGGTGCCGCTACTGATCTTACAATTAGTCGTCGGGCGTCAGAAGGATGGTGTGGTGCGGCTGAGGACTTCAGCTCGGGTCTTAGGATCGGTGGGTCATATGCGGCTGGAGCAGATATCACTTGCGTGGTGGGAGCGGGAAAGATTGTTCTATTTACCACACAATTCTATTTGCTTGGGATTGATTGATTTCTGAATCGGTGCTTGAGACTATCCAACGCATATAAGGGCCCGGAACGGGCTCACCATAAATAATATCTTCCAGGTTGATCCGACATATCACCTTCAGGTTACAGCCGACTCGCAGTGGAGATATACATTTCCACCCGGCCGGAAACACATTAGCAATTAGCGGTACAGGTGAAACAGAAGAGAAAAAAATGAAAGAGATATATCTGGTACCCGCATTGCACTCCTCTGACCAAAGAGAACTAGGACTAGAAGCAAAAACATACAACAGAAGGGATTCGCTGGTGGTCACCCACCCAACTACTAACCTCCCGGCGTGTGGCTTAAGTACGGCTGAGCGGACGGGAAGCCCTGTTTTCCACACCCTGTGGTCGTATGTGCTTCTTGTCTGTGTGAAGCAAATAATAATGTCCATTCTGCAATAAAGGTAAGAGGACAGGGATACCCGAAAGCCGATCACTTTCTGCTCAGCTAGGTTTTTAGCCTACGCATAGCCACCCGAAAGGGACCGTAAGACTTGGGAAATGGAAGATTGGAACGGTGTAGCGTAGTACTGCGTCTGGTTGTTTCTAGTCTACCTCTCTACGAGACATCACTTCCCCAGAGGGGCAATTGATGCCCTCTTGGATCTCTTGCAAAGAAAGCTATATTCCGAGGTAGTAGTTTGGGAACAGTGTTGCATTTTGGGATGGTATCTATCCCGAGCGTCTGCAAATCTGGACTCAGGGATAGCGATATACCCGAAGTAATACCCGGCGTTTGCACCTAGCGGTCGGTAGTGGTGTATCATCCAGGTAGAGCACCACACTGGGCTGGAATAGACCGTACATACTCGTTACCCTAGTGATCGTTCGTCGTCATCGGCAACTCCGACAGCCCCCCAAAGTCAAACAGACCCTGTCGGCAATCCCGGGCACGTGATGGCATGGCCCCAGAAAAAGGGGCTGGCTGGATTGTTTGGAGGAATTTCCCCGCAGCCAAGCAAGAAATGTCTCAGAGCATAATTCAAGCTTATCTTTGTTTGCAAATTACTACCAGGTATACTACATACAATCATGCATCATCTGCCGTTCTGAATGACTATTCTTCCCTTCGGCCACCTCGCTCCTTAAGCCGGCATCAAGTTTCCCTAAACCACCGACATCCCACCATACTAAGATCAATCCCAGACGCCAACCCTTTTCTTGCTGTCACAGCTACCCGACCAAAACACGCAGCGACTGACCCCCCCCCCTCCCTCCTTTCCCGAGCAGCATGCTCATTTCTTCGTCTTTGATCCCCATAAGCGCAGCAGATCCGAACATGCAGCCATACTACTAAACCGACCAGGCAAGGGCTGCCCCAGTCTCGCCGACCGGTGCTCCGGTAGCTGCAGCTGGTTGAGCCACGCCGCCAACCCCACCTCCGCCTGCGTCGCGTCGTATGCCAAAGCCACCGCTGCACTGACCCGACGGGACAGCTTCTTCCCGCTGACTGCACGCATTCCATCCTCGATGCGCAGCACGTGTCCGCGGTATGCCATGTCCTTCATCTCCAGCGATCGCAGCCCGGGGAGGTCGTCGCGGATGCCGTCGCAGAACTGGCGCCAGAGATCGTTGACGGCGTCGTAGAAGGGGTTCGAGCGGGTGGGGAGGTCGATGCGGTCGATGAGGCTGACGCTCACGAGCGAGAGGGTCTGCAGGGTCGGCGCGGCGGTGCGGAGGAAGGCCCGGAAACTGGGCTGCGTGACTTCAATCCAGTGGAGGGAGAGTGTGCACAGGCGCGTGAAGTGGATGTGGTGCGATAATTGTGTGAAGTGGTCGGCGGGCAGCTCGTCTTTCGTGCTCCATTGGGAGACTTTGAGGGTGGTAAGGGTCGGGGCGGCGGCGAGAAGGAGGCGCAGGAGCGGGGACTCGGTCGTGTCGGAGTGGGGGTCTGCGTATTGGAGGCATAGATCGAGTGTTTGAAGGGCTTGGAGATGGGGTTGGAGGGTTGTGTAGTGGGTGTCCGTTAAGGTGAGTTGTTCGGGGGGAATCCCGCAGTGCTCGCCTTCGCTGCAGGTGCGCAGTTGTTGGATCTGCGCGGTGGAGGTCGGGATGGCTTGCAGCAGGGCGGAGAAGACGGGCGCCCGGATGCTGCGATTCTCTTCACTCCATAGGTAGTCTGGGCTTCTTTCCCAGTTGTGAGGGATGTGTGGGTTAGCAAATGGGTGGTGATTGAGTCTGCGGCGTAAGGCCATACGGCCAAGACAGGGCGGGTGTTTGTGTCCCGCTGCGGAGGGAGGGTAGGTTTCTAGGCCGACGGTGGAGAGATTCGTGAGTTGCTTCATGCAGGTCGCGAGCGTGTGAGGGAGTGAGTCGGCTTGGATGAGTTTGAGGTGGGCTTTCACCGCGGATTGATACGTTTCGTAGTCGCTTCGCAGGTTGTCGATCGCCCATCGTACCAGCTCAGTGATAGAACTGTGTGTGCCGTGCGCCACTGGGGGCTGGTCGAAGTACCCCGCAGCCATGAGCTTGGCCTGCACGAAAGTATCGTAGTCAACATCGTAGTGGCCTCGAAACACCTCGGGAACCAGCCAGAGCTCCTGCACGTGCGCTCGAAATACCTCGTGGGTGGCGATGGCTTCGAGTTCTCGAAGCCCGTCAGATGTTATGAGGACACTGATGCGCTTGACATGACGGCTCACAAACGTCGCCAGCGATTTCGAATATAGCACCCGACATGACAGGCGGAGAGCACACCAGTCAGGAAGACCCAGATAGAACCATACAGCATCCAGGATCTCATTAGGAAGGTCAACGAGTGACATTTTGGGTGAGTCTCTCAGACACTTTCGGTGACCTGAAGAGAAGTGGAGAAGAAGGTGAAGTATGCAAGGGGGCAGGCGCCAACCGCCGTTCTTATTTGCTTTTTCAATTTACTCACCCCTCACCTGATTGACAGGGGAGGGGGTAAAGAAGGGGCCAAAAGGGCACATGAGCCACAGGAGCCTCATCGCGTGGGATTTCCCCAATTTAACAGTGAATATCATACTTGAGCCACCGGCCCGGCTAATGTAGCCCTGTCCATGAGGTGATCCTCCACGATCCACCGCTGACGCTTACGTAGCCTTCCCCCCACTTCCACACGTGCGAAAAGACCCCGTATGGACTGATTTAAAGTTCTCTTACATATTCCAGACAGAATCAGCTAGAGACCCCAGAAATCCCATTTCCGGACTAATTTCCGCAGACGAAGCTAACCCCCAAAGTAATATAAGGTAAGCCTTTCCGACGAGGCTGCAGGCTATAGTCCCCACCGCGTATAGCTCTTAGCGCCGTTGATCGCATTCATTTTGGGTAATTCGCTCGTCTAATTAATCTACTTATGTTGATGCTGCACTATGACCGCCGCGGAATCGGAAGGTCTTTAGGTTTTCCTCCAGCTTAAATCTGCGTAGCTTGCACAGTTTCGACTCAACAGTCCGACCGTCGGCATGATAATCCCATTCCCTGAAGCTTGAGGTCTAGCTCCTGGCTAGCATGCAGTACCACATCTGCGATCCCGGAGAAAGCGACAATCCACAAAAAGGACGTCGTTGGCTGGGTTGGAGTTGATGGCGTGATTTCCCTGGGGGCCATTCAGAAAGAAGAGTGTTAAGGGTCAGATGTGCTAACTCGGATGCTTCCCGAAAAGGGGCTTCTAGGAGAAATATCTTTATAGGCGTTGTAGAAGGCGGCCAGAATATGTCTGTGCAAGGGGAGTTTTTTTTTCCCCTGGTTGGCCGCGCCTCCACTCCGCCCGCTCGGATATGGCCCCGGGCCAGTGGGACTCCTCCTTTACCATGCTGCCCTAATCTTCTTGTGAGAGCTGGGCGAATCGAAACAGAGAAGCATATGGATATGTCTCGACTAGCTTTTCGACTATAGAGTTCTCACTCACGCAAAGCACCATGGCTGATACTTGCACACTCTGCATTTGCTGCATATTGAGGTGGAGGAGATTTCCGACCTCCCCAAAATGGATCCATGATGGCTGATGGCGGTTGCCCTACTGGGGATAGCGAGCAACTCACAGCAGTCTAATAATTGTGAGTCATTCTTTTGGAGATTCATGTCAAGAACATCAACTAAGTTTGATAGCCTCAGTATGGAGTCAAGAGGGTCTGTGAAATGTCCTACTCAGCTCATGGGGCTAGCCAACGTTACAGAGCATATGTATTGCTTATACGACCAAAACCTATATAAATCCCGTGATCGACCAGTTCCACCCCCCAAAACTCCTGCTATCCCAAGAATGTTCAAAAAGTTCAACAGCTGAAAGTTCAAAGTCCAATGCCTTCTGCGCAAAACAACGGTCGCGGGGCTCTCGACGCAGCGTTTGGTTGGGAGTTCATCCCGCGACAACACACCCAAAGGAAATTATCCTGAGCCTGAGGCAGAATCTTTGTATTCCCCTTGCCCCTCCTCTTTCACATGATAGTAGCGTGTATACTAAGCATCATCGGCCTCAGCCTTCCGCTCCGCTTGCACTTTAGCCCAAAGCAACTGCGCCCCCGGGTGGTTCTGCTGGGCCATATACCCGATTGCTTCCTCATGCTGCTGGAGGGCCAACAATTCATAGGAACCCTTTCCTCCCAGACTCCACTCGGGCAACTTCTCTCCATTGAGGGTGTAGAAATAATTCTCCCCCACCAATTGGCGGCTGTACTGCTCCCGTGTCAGGCCCATGGGCAAGTAGTCCTTCTTGTGCTGCACGCGGTAGTTCACGACCGGGTGGATGTAGGCGCAGGTGGCACCGAGGACTCCTGTCTTCTTTTTCTCGTCGCGGTACATGTTGACACTGGGCGCGCGCGGCTTCTTGCCATTGGGGATATACATGTTGGAGAAGCTGTCGGGCATGTTGCCCAATCCCCAGGTATAGTGGCGCGTGTCGGTGCACGGGGCCGGGGTGAGGGGATGCATGACGGCGGACCCAAGCCACCTCGCCCCGCGACCCAGGTACTCCCCCCAGGACTCGGTCTTGGCCATCTCCTTCTGCTTCTCCAGGGCCGCATTCAAGGTCGCGATCGTCGCCTGCCGGTCCGTGTAATGATCCTGGATGGTCTTTTCGCGGATGCCCACAAACGGCGCGATCTGGTCCAGCATCCAGGCGAACACGATGTTCGACATCTCCTCCATGTCGCCGAAATTAATCAACGTGTCGCTCGAGCCGCCGCCGATGTTGATGTGGTAGCCGGGGAACCACACCTGCGTGAGCTGCGGCGTGCCCAGATTGAGATTGTCGTCGCTGACCACCAGGTCGCGTCGGGCTTCCCAGACTGCTTTGCTGGCTAGGTTGATTTCCTTGGCCAGCTGATCCAGGGTCTCGTAGTCCGTCGGATACAGCTGGCCGTGCTTCTCCGCCTTCTTGACCAAGGCTCTTCTGGAAGCTCCGGCCTTGTCCAAGATAGCCTTCTTCTCGTCGACTTCCTTGGCAAGTCTCGCTCGGACTTCCGGGAGTGAAGCGTCGGGATAACCCGAGGGTAAGCACCAGACCTCGGGGTAAAAGGCCTTGCGGTACTCATCGAGGGCCAGCGCCTGGAATGCATGCTTGATATGCCGCGAGAGGGTCACATTGTGCCATCCGGGGGGGTCCTTCCACCACATCAGGTTCGCAGGCAGCTGGACCCCCGCCACCTCAGGGATCCCCAGCGCCTGGACGGTGTCATATACGGCCACGACCTCCACCCCCCGCGAATCCGTCTGCGCCCAGCGCTCATTAGGATGCATCTCCCATGCCAACCCGGTGGCGGTACCGGGATGCTTCCGGTGCTGCTCGCAGGCCTTCCCGTCCACGAATTGGAAGTAGTCGTCGCTGTTGTAGAAGACCCCCTTCCGCTTCAGGTTCTTGTACTGCTTCCACAGGTCCGGGAAGCGGTGCAGCTTGTGCGGCTCGCAGATGCCGGCGTCGGCGATGAGTCCGGCGACCGCGCGGGCCGTGTACGCGCCGCGCGAGAAGCCAAAGCACAGGATCTTGTCGCCGCGGTTCCAGTTCATCGAGATGAAGTTGTAGGCCTCGACGATGTTGCCGTCCAGCCCGTCGCCCACGGCACCCTCCAGCATCTTGCTGACGGCCAGCGAGGTGGTGCCCACCCCGGAGTCGTACCAGACCACCTGCTGCCAGTCCTGGCCGTCGATGTGGGCGACGGGCTTGATGGCCCGGCACAGGCGCGTGATGTTGGAGGGGGAGTTCTGCTGCCCGGACACGGCCGTCTGCCATGTCCCGTCGAAGCAGAGGATGATCCGCTTGGGAGCGTATGCGGAAGACGTAGTCCGAGCCATCCTGCTGGTTAAAATGTGAAAATCAAAACTCGGTGATAGATTAGCACACTCACTCGGGAACCCTCTAGCAGACTTATACTCCTGATGGTGAGTGATGGTGGGATTTACCCCTGAGAAAACCCGGTCGGCAGGATTGCCCTAGTTTGGTGTCTTCGTATACTCAGCTGGCGGCCATCCGCCATGCTACCAGGGTCTAGCCCTCTCCACATCTTCTTCAGCTGCCCCCAACCCTGCCAACCACAGATAACAAGGGTCCCACTTTCTTTCAGCTCCGAGCTGGGTCTTGACGGGCGATCCGACCGCGTGGCGAGTGCAGGGTTCTGGCCGCGGCGGATCGGCTATTTTTGCCCGCGTGCTTTGGCACGGGCCGGCGCCTGATGCGGGCTTAGCGAACTATCGATCTGTCACTTGAGCTGATGGGTAGGAGTGTCGCCACTGTCTCGTAAAACTGTGTTATGCATATTGGAGATGTATTCATGTATGCATTGTGGCATTGTGTGTGTGGTGTGAGACCTCCAGTTTCGATGTGGCTGACTCTGCCATCTGACTCGTGTGACCGGGGGTAGCAATGGTTTCTTGCCTCAGCGCATTTTCTCCGAGGCTATGCCTCGTATCTTGCTTACAGACGTGTCTGTTTACTGCACAGGTCAGCCATCTACATCTTAATCGACATGAGATGACCTACGGTTTTCAAGCACGGACGCCACACATACCACCGACGTCTGGGATTGTGCGGAAACAGCACTGACTAGGCTTTCCACAAGAGCATCAACGATAAAATCCTCATACAGCTCAAAAGGCTTGTGGGCATACATAGATCACCGAGTCGCTGGTCGGGACATTTGGCGTCGTCTTCACTTTCTTCATTCCAGATACAGTAGAAGGCAAGACTAAGCATATTTCCTGCTCCGTGCGGTCAGATGCACCGGCCCGATCCTGGGATCTATCCGAGTCCAAGGGGACAGGCTCGCAGTCTAATTCATCTACTTGGCTTACTTAGAACTTTTGGGATCATAAAATAGAGAGATTTCGCTGCGGATGTGGGAGGTTGACAATGTACTTTGATAGAGGCTTGTGTAAGCTACACCACAGAAAGACTTATTATAGTCTAGAATGACCGCAAGAGTTGGAGGGCGAAGGGCGCCCACTCGGGTTTGTTGCCTTATTGCCTTAATGCCATAATGTCATGGTGCCAGGACTACGCACATAATTCAAGATATGGGTACTGTGCTCACCACTTAGGGCCCTTTCAGATGGAGAATGTTGTCAAGGGGCGATTTCATCGATTAGATGGCGAAGAGACATCAAAAATGAAAAACATACAACAGAAGGGATTCGCTGGTGGTCACCCACCCAACTACTAACCTCCCGGCGTGTGGCTTGAGTACGGCTGAGCGGACGGGAAGCCCTATTTTCCACACCCTGTGGTCGTATGTGCTGAACATGACCTCGCAGTAAGCTATAATGTAATTGATTAGATGCTGACTTGGGGGTTTGTTTCCATGTGGGAATGATGTGTAGTGTACAGTCAACTCTCGCTATAAGGTCCAGTTGAGACCGCCACCTTAGTTTCTTATACCTAGGACTTCTTTTTATCAAGCGCGGTGTAAATGGATAAGGTCGAACAGTGCGAGCATTAAATAGGTCCGATATGTCGTGGAATCCTTGACAGCAAAGTTCGGTATAACAGGAGCTGACTGTAGCTGAGGGCGGACTTGTCGCCGAGATGGCGAGCCGGGGCTCGGATTTGTTCCGACCAGTTGATCCCGTATTTAGACATAGCTGTCTTTGGTTGTTGTCGTCTAAGGGAGCGTGGTTGGCTGCTTCAATGATCTGGATATTGTTGTTCACCGTATAAAATTGTTCCTTTGGCTTTCAAATTGCTATGATTTAGGATGCGAGAAGGTGTTCGAGGACGGATCTGTGGTGATGTGGCAGAAGGTATACCCGGTGACTGCTGGATGCGCTCACTCGACTGACACCTACTAGTCAGCTCATCATGGCAAATAGCAACGTGGAGACCTTGGTAAGATAGATGATGTCTCTTTATGGCTGCATCGTACCCAGCAACTGAACCCTGTCACAGTTGCCTGCATTCAACTGAGGATGGTGTGGGGGAGGACCGAACCTCGGAGTTAGCGCCGGATAAGCAAAGCCGGGGTAGGGCGACGCTTATTCACTTCCCCGCGCGGCTGAAGTCTTTTCTCCATCTTTTAATTTCACCTCCGCCGTCTTCGCAGAGAAGTCAGTCTGAGAGAACTCCTTGTCTCTTTCACACCGGACAGGTCGTTTGTACCTTCCACCATGTCGACACAGACCGAAACGATGACTGACTCGAGGGAGCTTGAATTCCGGGACGCTCCCCCCGAACTGCCTCGAGACAAGGATCTAAGAGTGTACGTGTGCGCCCTTCGTGACAACACATGAGATGCCACGAGGTGATGCCATCCTTCTTTTGGGTGCTGGGCTTACAAGGACTGCTCCCGCAGACAGCAACTCCTGGTCATCGGAGCCGGGTTCACCATCATGCTAACGACCAACGCCCTCATCTTCTCCGCCGGAGTCTACCAGGCGCTCTACGAGGAAATGGCCAGCGAGCCGGACAACCCCTTCACAGGCGCATCGTCCGCGCTGATCGGGCTCATCGGCACCCTGGCCATCGGGCTGATGTCCATGACCGGGCCCTTCGTCATGATGTGGATCAAGCTCTACCAACCACAAGCCGTGGTCGCCGTCGCGGGCGTCATCTTCGGGGTCACCTACATCCTGGCGAGCGTGAGCCGCACCCTGTGGCAATTCGCGCTCACGCAGGGCGTGCTGGTCGGCATCAGCGTGTCCATGTCATACATCCCGGCGACCACGACCGCACCGACGTGGTTCAACGAACGCCGCAGCCTGGCGATGGGGATCGTCATCTCCGGCAGCGCAGTCGGGGGCATGATCTGGCCGTCCATCCTGACCGCCATGATCAACCACATGGGCTTCCGCAACGCGCTCCGCGTGTCCGGCGCCATCTGCGCCCTGGCCATCATCCTCGTCTCGCCCGCCGTGCAATGGGAACCCAACTTCAACCAGCAGATCCTCGCCGAACGCCAGGCCCTGCTTCAGCGCGCCGGCAGCGGCTCTCCCTACCGCGCGCTCCTCCAGCCCCCGCTCATCAACTGGCGCCTGACCCTCACCAAGAAATTCCTCCTCAAAGCCGCAGGCTGCATGCTGCAGTCCGCCGCCTACTCGACCCCCCTCATCTACTACGCCGCCTTCGGCCGCGCGCTGGGCTACTCCGCCAGCACGGCCGCGAACTTCATCACCATCAGCAACGCGTCCAACGCCGTCGCGCGCGTCGCACTGGGCTACGCGGCCGACCAGTACGGGCGCATGAACCTGCTCTTCGGGACCACCTTCCTCAGCGCCGTCGCCGTCGCCGCCTTCTGGGTGCCCGCCACGGTCGCGGGCGCCACCGCCGCCGGGAAGGCGCTGTTCATCGTGTTCACGGTGCTGTACGGCGCGTTCGCGAGCGCCTACATCGCGCTGTTCCCGGCCTCGCTGATGGAGTTGTTTGGCAAGAAGGACTTCACCAGCGTCAATGGCGCCCTGTATCTGGTGCGCGGGCTGGGCGCGCTGCTGGGCACCCCGCTGACGGGGCTGTTGATCCCGCAGAGCCGCGCGCTGGCGGCGCCCGAGGTGTACGAGCGGGCCGCGCTCGTGGTGATGGCGCTGCTATTTCCGGCCAGCTTTTGTATTCTGGGGGTGCGGTTGGAGATGACGGCGGGGAAGGATTGGAGGTGGAAGGTTTGATTCGGGGGGTGGGGGTTGGATGTTGGTTTGTTCTCTGGTGTCGTGTAGCTTGCTTTCTAGGTACGATGGACTGTATAGTAGGTACTCTTTTGACTGGGGAGTCGTGCATGCGGATATCCATTCATCGAGAACTATGACACAACCAAATACTTAAGGCAACTGGGTCCGTCCGCAACCAACCTTCCTTACCCTGACCCATTAATCGAGTCCAGGAAGACACCCCACAGTGCCACACTCCGAAGATAACTGATCAATGTTCACCGAAGCCTCAAGAGAAATTCAATTAAATCGAGTGATCAGAATGGATGTACTCAGTATCTTCAGGACTTTTACTTGGGGGGAACCGGACGGGTGGAAGTCGCTGGTCCCGTTGTGGTTTAGTTTCCGTCGTGCAGCAGCGGCCCAGGCAGATCGGAGACTAGACTCGTTTGGGAAGGCATATGCAACGCCCGCGGCCCGCGGCCCTGGAACTGCTGGCTGGCAGACGGCGAGAAGGCGGTGGCCCGGAGGGGGGCGGGGTTCTGGCATGCGGGCGAGCTCATTTCGCTTTGATTTGGTCCGCGACAAGCAAACCTTAGATTGTGAGAAAGTTATCTGCGTGCTTCCTTGATATATACCCTTGATTATCTGCTTGACAGAGAAATTTGATTAGGAGAAGTGGAAGTACAACTCGCAAGAGACATACTACGAAGCACAAAAGTAGAAAGATAAGCAATGAAATACAATTCCCACATTAAAAATACTCTATATAGTCATTATCGCATAATTACCGTCCAAACCTCCGAAGTCTAGGGAGTCTCCTCGACGTTGTAGACGAGCTTCTCGCCGCTGACCTTATCCTGCTTCAGCAGCTCCAACCCCTCCATGACCCCCTCCAGCCCGCGGGCGCCGACCTTGGGCCGGTGGACCTTGATCTTGCCCTCGGCCAGCAGCTGGGTGGCGGTCTCCCAGAAGCGGGCGGCGAACTCGCGGTCCTCGGGCTTGGCGGGCATGGGGGTCTCGCCGAAGGTGAAGTCCTCGCCAACGGCGGTGTAGGCCAGGGTCCAGCGGTCGTTGACGTTTTGGCGCTCGATGCCCACGGCCAGGAGGGCGGTGTACTCGCCGCCCTCGGTGGAGAGGGCCTCGTCGCAGAACTTGGCGCTGGCCTCGACGGAGATCGTGTCCAGCACCAGGCGGAGCTTGTTATCGGTGTACTGGCGGATCTCGGCGGGGGTGTTGGGGTTCTTGTAGTCGAAGGCGGCGTCGGCGCCCAGCTGCTTCACCAGGTCAAAGTTGTGCGGCGAGCAGGTGGTCAGCACCTTGTAGCCGGAGAGCTTGGCGAACTGGATGGCCAGGGCGCCGGTGGCGGTGGATCCGCCGTAGATGAGGAGGGGTTCCGGGGTGGTTGTGGGTGCGGTGGGCGGCGCCAGCTTCAGGCTCTGGTACAGCGCCTGGCCGACGGTCGTGATGCCCACGCCCAGCGTGGCGGCCTCCTGGAAGCTCAGGTTGGAGGGGATCTTGGTCGACAGGTCCGCCTTGGCCACGATGTACTCGGCGAAGGCCCCGTCCTCGGGCTCCACGGCGTTGGCCCCGTGCACGAACCCGCACACCCGGTCGCCCTTCTGGAACTTGCCCTGCACGTTCTTGCCGACTTCCTCGACGATTCCGGCGTAGTCGCAGCCGACCAGCACGCCCACGGGCGCCAGGAAGGCGATGTGCTTCCAGTCGGTCGGGTTCAGGGCCACGCTGACCGTCTTGACCAGGATGTAGTCGTCGCGGAGGGTGGGGATGGCTCGGTCGCGGACCAGGCTGGCCTGCTTGGGGGAGCTGACCACGATGGCTTTCTGGGTGGACATGGCGGCGGTGGTGGTGATTGTGGATGGGTTTGTGCTGTGGTGGGATTAACTGTTAAAGGTGGATGGATGGTGGGAGAATTGTTCTGTCTGACTCTAGCAGGGGTTGGATGGTTTATATAGCAGATGAAGGTTTAAGAAGCTTGCAGCTACTCCCATACCTGGGAAAGGAGGAAATGCTTACAAATGGCGTCAATGAGGCCATTGAAACTCTCAGATGACAAATCGACTTCGATTTTCTTCTGGTGATCTCATCTGGGCCGCTGCTTTGCAGCATTTCCGTGTGTGTCGACAGGACCCACTTTCTGCAGCGAATCCTCGCGGTGTGAGTTTTCTAGAGGAACCGAGGGAGGCCGCAGCTGCACGGAGTTTCTGCAGAGCTCTGCAGACCCGTTGAATCGACGCAGCGGAAACTAGACCTATTTCGCTCGCCAAGCTACAAACTCAATTGCTGGTCAACCACAATTTGAATCGGCTTGATTGACATTTGGGTCTGGTACAGTGCTTCATGGCCATGGTGATACTTTCTTGCCAGTTGGAGTTCCAACCTTGGGGGTGTGCGTGTTTACTCATCCTCGGAGGAATGCGCTAATCACCGCTTGGAATGCTGTCTCGCAGGGTTTTCAAGGTGTAGAAAGTATGATTTGTTATCACGGGTTGATAATCAATTCCTGACCGTACTCGCTGGGATACCGAGCTGCCGGTTAAAATTAAGTTTGATTCCTAAGATTAGTGAACGCCATGCACCTAAATTGTAGCCTGGTCTTGGCACCGGTAGATTGCCCGACGGACCCGGCCGGACATGGGTATGTGTTGTATGCTGTGGGTTGGATTCTACTCGACACCTCCACATAGCGTTTATGACTCGTGGTGCGGTGCATTAATGAAATAATGGTGAAATTGCAGAGGGTCTTCTGGGAGCAATTGCTTGCAGTGTGGGAAGGGGTATGCATTAGGAGAATTGGCAAAAAGTGATGACCAGACTGGGGCTCGATCCCAGGACCTTATCGGTGTTAACGATACGTGATAACCAACTACACCATCCGGCCAATTGATGATAAGGAGGTTAATTCTATGTTGGATCAGCTTGGACAGATCTTAGACAGTACAGCATACTTCACTAGAGTCCCACGCTAACTTGCAAGTTATCCAGCAGCACAGGGTGGCTCTTCCGTAAACATTGGGGGTAAGGATAGGTCGGCTTTTGTCTGAGAGCTTGGCCGGTGCTCACATACTTGAAACTGACCTACGGCCTGTCTAGAACTAGGATTGGAGAAAGTTGGAGCACTCCAAATTATTCCTACGGGCGTGGTAGGAGACTAACGCGGGACTTTCTTGGGGGTGACAGCAATTGATCCTACTTTGGGCTGCACTCTTTATGGTCGTATCTGTTATGTGGCTTGGGTATCGGGGATGCGGCTTCGTCCAATGCTTTGGAAGTCGGGGAGTTCTGCCAATTGCTAGTGGTTCTAGTGGATGTATCGAAGCCGATATATTTAATGGGCACGAACCACAAGTTGTCACACTCCTGGCATTATCCAGCTCAAAACAGGCGAAATTGATACATAAGAATATTGCACAACAGTCTCTATCTGTACAAACAAGTAGACGCAGGACCTTGACCTCACATTCTAGTTGATATATCCTACGAAAGTGTGGTGAAGTTATTGATTAAAAAAAGAGGACCGGAAGTATTTTGCTTTGTTTCCTCTCTACCAGATTATTAAAGATCATAATGTCATACAAAAAGGCCTAAAATAACAAACTGGCCGGATGGTGTAGTTGGTTATCACGTATCGTTAACACCGATAAGGTCCTGGGATCGAGCCCCAGTCTGGTCATTCTTTTTGTCCACATCCCTGGACGGTATCGTTTTTGTCATTCTCTGTTGCATACTAGCTGCAAGTACACAAATTTGGTCACCTCCCGAGATATACGAAATGTTTTTTTTTTTCGCAAGTCAACCCCAGAAGTTCGCCCCAATCGCATCCTCCGCACATCAAAGACAACCACCTCCCTATCCATCTAAAACACCAGACTTAGTCCCCAACTGCCCATCCTCCTTCATTATGCTGATTCACTTTCCGCTCTTCGCCGGTCTAACCCAGAAACTAGGGCCTGGGAGGGCTGGCAAGTCCACTGAGTGCAGCTGCACGATGCAAGTACCACTGCATCTCCAGTAGCCGAAAGGAAGGCAGTGGAAGCTTCTTCGGGTCCTTAGTACGCAAGCAAACGATATCACCAGACCTCACCATCGTGTTGGACCATCGACCCTTGAATTCCAGCCAGTTATTGCTGGCTCGGTCGATATCCGGGGGCGAGACCAACGGAACCTCCGCGGAATACGTCTGACCAGGGAGCCGGTAGATCTGGACGGTCAATGATCTGCAATCCTGGCTCAGCTCGAGCGGCTTTAGAGCAAAGCCTAGATTGGCCCAAGCCGTACCCACATCCAGACACATGAGAATCCCGTTCTCGAGTCCATCTGTGCACCCGCAACTAATCGCCGCTTGTCTCCAAAATGCCACCCTAGGCCCCGACCAGAATATCCCTATAATGTCCCACAGCATGCCCGATTCCTCTGCCTGCCCAGGTGCCTCCAGCCGACACGGGAAAGCGTTGCCCGAACAGCGGATTCCACCATCTTCCCGGGTGACCACACAGGATCCGTCTCGCTCCTCGCACTGTGCCTGTGGTCAGATTCTCATCATCCGCGAGACATTACCGGAAAAAGCAACACCCACCGGATCCCGCAAGCCATCACCTCCATCATCCCATGTCTCGGATACACTGTCCCTCCCTGGTGAAAGGAAAGTTAGCCAGAAAGCTGAGGCTGGGTATATATTCTCTCGCCACTCACAGAATTCCAGCGCGTCCTTGAATGTGTCGGCGCCCTGGACAAATAAGAGCCGGAACATTCCAGGGGACTTGTTGCACTCCTCCGACAAAGCTCGGAGAGCTTCAACATCAGCCAGCCAGAGCAGGGCCCGTACGCTTGGATTAACCTTGGCGATGCATAGGCCTGAGCCGATCTGTGAGATGATTTCCGCTCTCCTCGGATCGTCGAACTCGGGTACTAGGCTGCACATGGCTGAGCTCGACGCCGCCATCTCCAAGCTCGGGGCTGTGGTATTTGGTTGCTCCATGCGGAGAGCGCTGGAGTGTCTGAAGGTGGATGCGTTGCACCTCTGTAGCGATTATGAGAGGATAGAAAGATTCCAAGAAAATTAGAAAGAGGGTAGAAGATCAGAGTATTGTTCTTAATGAGATGTAGGTTTCTCGGAGTTCTGGATGGGATAGTAGGGTGACGGGATAGGAGTTGAGCAACGTGGATAGAAGAGAGAAGGAAGAGTAAGAACAGGGTGGGAGTACACGCGGAATAGGACAATGAGGTGGTGATGAACAGGAGATAAGGCAGGATAATGTGGTATAAGAAGGAATCCAGATCCTTCAACTGATTTGTGGTGTGACGTGAGGCCAATAGGGGCCGTGATCAGTTGTGTTTACAGAGCCCCATGCACCTCAATGCTTCCTCGCCCATCATCACAGTTCATGAACTCTTCCGAAAGAAAAGAAAAGAAATCAGTTGATGATGGCATCATACCACGGGAAGCTGAGAGAACAGAGACAGATGAAGTGGGACTGATATATGTGTGCTTGATTGCGGGTTTCGTCAGCGAGAGATCAAAGCTTCACATGTCACCTCGACAATCAGAACCCCTTCGACTGGTCCAAGTTTTTGGGACTACGAAGTACTGCCTTGCCATAGCTAGGTACTACAGCTTAGTCAGACACAACTTAATGCCGCCCTGTTAAGCATAGATTGGTATCTCATGGTTGACACCATCGCGTCGCTACATTCTGTCGAGTATCCGTGTAGGGCAGAGAGTGTGGTAATGTGAGGATTACATGGCAACATAAAACAAGACACAAAGATTGAGACATTGCATGATCTTTGGCTTAGTTTTATCTTTTAAGACAGCTCAGAAGTGATGCCGAAAACGGAGAATGGTAAGGTTACCTAGTAGTTCAAACATGGTTCTTTGACCTGCTGCTCACTCTTACGTCTAGATCTCTTTTTGCCGAAGGGAGAAGTGTTCCGTATGCTTTGAACCATAAATACAAAGTTCAAGCAACATTATATAAGTGGCCGGATGGTGTAGTTGGTTATCACGTATCGTTAACACCGATAAGGTCCTGGGATCGAGCCCCAGTCTGGTCATTGCTTTTTGTATTTTTGCTTGCCGAGCAGTCCAATCCTCTCAAATCCATCATGTACTCGCAAACATAACGATGAGGCTATTTGGGTCATAGTCTCATTTTTGCTACTAGCTCGAGCCAGTCGGGATGAAATCCGAGCGTCAGGAATGTGTTGCGAAACCTTATTGCGGCTTGACCTAGTGTGTAAGCTGTCACTGCCGAACAATGCTTTACCCTAAGCCAAGCTGACGGCAGAATGTTTTTAGTCACGATGAGCCACTCAATCATGCCGTTCCCAAGGAGTTTAAAAAGTAAGCCCAGTCAAGAAAGTCAATTTCATTACAACGCAGAGTGGCACTGATGCATGGCAAGATCCAAGTGACTTGTAATAAGTGCATGACCATGGCCAGGCATTTGTAGGGGATAGAAGGACGACCTTTTTTATGTGCTGATAACCCGAGGTAAATGAGGAAGTCACATCTGAGAACTCATCAATCCACTGAACGTTGCACCTGTTTCCATATCAAGTTCGTCTCAAACAAGCAATTCTTCATTCCACCGTGCGTCTGCCTCGCTATTAGCATCATCCTCACCCGGAAGCTATGCTTTATTCCGGTTCTCCCTTGTCCCACAGTGCTAACTTTCAGATGCACATCACACTATGACCCAGTATGTATCTCGCAATGGACTTCGGTAACTGCAATGACTCATGAGACTTCTCTCGTATGGTACAATGGAATGATAGGTACTCCAGGGTCTGTGAGGATATTTCTTCACCAGTTCAAGTTTCACCTGTTGTAATTCGTAGGTCACGAACTACAACTCAATTGATTTCTCCTTTGTCAAGACTTGGCACCCTTCTGCCCAGTTTCAACTTACTTGACCCTTTTTTACGCCCAGCCAATCCCACTCGAATTTCGAGTATTGTCAACTGGAGAAAGCGTCGAGGGTAAGTTTGCTTTGCCTCACACGGTCTCAGTTGCCCTGTCACTCTCCCTTGTCGAATCAGATGGTCTTTAATGATTGTTCTTAATATCCAAGGAAGCTCAAAAGCAGATACCTCATGTTCTATCACACTGATTGCTGCTATTGCCACGCACCAGATACACCCAGAGGCGAGTTCTCAGAATTGAAGACATGCACGATTATGCCTAGCCAGGTCCAGGGCCATCTAAAATGTCTTGCTTCGCGGAGCCAACGGCCTTCGCCAGGACTAAATGGATTAAGCACATCTCTGCAATACGCAGCACGGTTTGTCCCAAAAGAGTTCCGCATGTCAATAACCCTACCACGACGGATATTGTTTACAGTGAGTCGACCAGACCTCCTATTTGCGCAATTGTATAGCATCCAAGCGGATGATTCGGTATATACGAAGTACGCAGCACAACACCTGTCTTGACAGTTAAACCATCTGGGGCGTCAATCCACATTCTTATCGGCAACATACATATTTGCAAGAAACCCGATGGTAGTACGCAGAAATCTGTTCAAGATTCAAAGCCTGGTAACTTCTGTGAGCTAGATCGATGGCAATGAAGAGTGAGCGATAATTACCAAGTCACGACAGTTTAGTGCCGCTTGCAATACTGCTTGAAGCTGACCAGAAGAACATAGTGTTAATATAAAGCACAAAAATCACAGTTGGCCGGATGGTGTAGTTGGTTATCACGTATCGTTAACACCGATAAGGTCCTGGGATCGAGCCCCAGTCTGGTCATCTTTTTGCCACCGATATCTTTTGCATGATTTATCGACGACGACTCATCGTGGAATCCAAGGGGTTCGCAAAAACTCTCTGCCCCTTTGCCAAATGGTTCCTGGGCACTGATTTTGCTGGGCTTCTGGAGTTTCTTACGCCCTTCCATGGGCTGCGGGATACCCCACGTTCTGGCGGTTAATGTAGATGGTTCGCCAACAACGCCGACGCAACCAGAGCTTTCAGCACCATGGGCAGCATGTTATTGCCTTATCAATCTGAGCTTGGTAAAGGTCAATCACCCTGGTCGTTGTGCCCTGTCGCAATCTGGTATTGGGCAACGCACCTAGTCCACGAGAGTGCATGAGAAATGTAAACCGACTAAGCCTGGAGATGCCGAGTCAAGAAAACAGCTTCTACAGCCAATGTCTATATCCCAATGAAAGAACAGTGAATTTAGCTCCTGCTCCGACATCCAGACCCAGGCATATTCCGACGGGCTTGAGTTACTCAGACTGCCACTCATTGAACGTCAGCTCTAATGTCCCCCACCAACTGGGATTCTACGTGTCCTCCGAGAGACGTTAATTGTTGAACGAGCCGAATTGTCCCGACCCATGTTTCATGAGTTGATTTCTCGTAAAAAGTACTCGCAGACCCCGGCTTGGGTGATTGGCGATGCCGTTCGCAGACCTAGCCCTAACTTGACCGAGACAATGAGTCCAGCGCCGAATCTCTCCTCATACAAAAACCATGAACTGTACCGAGCCAAGATAATAAATTCCAGCGAATTTAAGGTAGTAAGGTCATATGGTCATAGCCATGTCAAGGGAGAGATTGTGGTCTTGAAGCAGCAAAAAGCAAAAAAGAAATGACCAGACTGGGGCTCGATCCCAGGACCTTATCGGTGTTAACGATACGTGATAACCAACTACACCATCCGGCCAATTGATGAAATAAGCCCAAATCTTTGGTTTCAGGAGCCTGTGATAATGACACAGTGATCAAAGCTCCTCACTCAAGCCTCTTCTAAACGAGGGAACGACATTGTAAATATAGCATAACATCGCAGGCTTCTGTATAATGCCCACTTAAACTCAGCGTCACCCGAGCGTCTTCTCTCTGTCAGCCCTCTCTCCCATAGCCCATTCCTACCCCCCCAGCGTAGACAAGACAAGCCATTCCAGTCTTAAACATCCTCCTCGCCTAGAACCGTCGTGACCGCAACACCATCCTAAATCCAGTCAGCATGACATTCAATGCTCCCCTTAAACCCAAGGCAAGGGAAAGAGAAGCCACATACCCTGCCAAACTGCGTCTCAAACTCCCGCACAACAGTCTGATAAACCAGCCCAGGCCTAGGTCTCAACCCCGTCGTCTCCCACCCCTTCTCCCCCTTCCGCGACTCCAACAACCTCCTCTTCTCCTCACACCCAGCCGTCACCCACTCCAAATACTGCGGTGCCCCCGGCATCACCACATTATCCGCGACCACCACCGACTTCTCCGGCACCAGCACACCCAGCCCCTCCATCAACCACAGATCCGGCAGGTACAGCTTCTGCCAATGATCCACAAACACCAACTCCGCCGCTTGCACCTCCCCATCCGCCACCAACTCTCTGAGGCTGGACGCCGCCGACCCCACAATTACCCGCACCACATCCTTCAGACCCGCCAGATCGATCAGCTGGTTCGCGACCGCCGCCATCTCCGGGTTCTGCTCCAGACTGAGGTACCGGGTGCCGCCGGCGGCGCGGAGCGTCGCCCCGAACAGGATCGCGGAGTAGCCCACGTACCCACCGAGTTCGATCATGACCTGGGGCTTGTGGGCGACGATCAGGTCCCGGATGTAGGCGCCCTTGGCGGCGCCGATGTTCATGAGCGGGTTGTGCGTGTGGCTGTAGGCGTCGATCGCGGCCAGGATGGCGGTCGGGTTGTTGCGCAGGGTGGGGAGGTCCGGGTGCGCGTAGATGTAGTGGAGGAGGTCGACTTCGCGGCCATCCTTGCTCCTCGGGGCGGAGGTTGAGGTTAGTGTTTGCGGTTAGGATTGTTGGCGGGGTGGACTTACGAGAGCGTGGGATAGAGGCTTTGGGGCGTGGGGCTTGGACATTGTGTACTGCGGTGTAGGGTTGCGTTGAAGTATGCGATGAATGTTAAGAGGTGTGCGTAAGGGAAACGATGCTTGGAGGTGATTGTGTAGGCTTGAGACTGAGGTTGCAAGGTTTCCCGTTGAGCTGTGCGAGTCTTTTATGTCATGGTGCTTGGGGTTCTTTGTACCCAGGCAGCCGTTGGCGATTCGGCCATGTCATGGAGTTTACCCCTTCTTTGTCCTGTCTCCGGACAGAAACTCGGGCTTAACACGGATGACGTAGCTTTGATGATGATAACCCGACTATCTTGTGTGGTTGTGTTGCTTTTCTGGGATTAAGCCTAAATGCACCACGGAGATAAAACACGGTGGATGGCTCGGAGCCGAGGATTCGGAGCCCGGATCGCGGGGTAGAAGCCGATCGACCTGCCAAGCTACAAGGCTGAGCTCAATCCATGGCTTCCTTAAAGGTACGCACATAGGCTTTAGTCATGCCCAGAGTCGCTCTTGAAACCTGATTTAATTGCTCTGCTCCCGTGCTGATTTGACGGACACTGTTCTCTTTGAGCTGACTTGTGCTGACTTGTGCTCTCATGATGAGATCGACATGTGTAGCATTGAAATTTGGATCTTATTGCTTTCAACCCATGCGCTCCAAAATTCTTTTTCACTCCTTTGTTCTTCAACAATTGGTATTCAGGCAATGACACCCACGCATCAAGTTAGGGGTGAAAGCCTTCGTGTTTCTTGGTGCAACTTGCTCAGTGATCTAGCTAGCGACTTGGGATGGCACTGCAGAGAGTACCGATTTCAGAAAGGGCTGCTGGAAATGGATCTTGAAGTAGGTCACACACTGCGCAAAAAGCGACAAAGTAAGAGATATGACATCCCCTCTAGTTGCAGCTTGATTATACTCAACGCTAAGACCTTGCTGACCCTTAGGCGAGTAGATCCGCACTGCGACTCTGCCCATTACCCGAAGAGGATTTGACCTACAACATGCTCCTGAGGCCCGGAACCTTTACCATCAATACTGTACTGCACCCCAACAAGAGAGCGCGCCAGAATATCTGCTCTTGTTGAGGCCTCCGCAGTTCGAATCGGCAGTGAGTGACCATTCGACACGCCAAACCAGCTCCCACTTGGGGCTCGAAGAAGGCATTGACGACAATCTCTCACACAAAAATACAAGGCTGAGCAAACTAGACAGGAGGTACTCCTAGATCGTTAATAATACTGAACCTGGAGCTCCGGTCGCATATGGCTGGTGGCAATTCACGAAGGCAAGACCGAGGCCGAGTGGGCGACCACATTTGCCCACAGGGTTAGGGCCCGATGGAATGAAAAAAGCCTGGCGGATGCGACTAGTAGTGCTCGAGACCTGAAGCGAGTCAAGCTTCTGAACACTTGGGAGGTATTAAGATCTGTACCTCGCCCAGTGGAATCCCGATCCGTTGCCCATCTAGGCGGGTAGTTCGGTTTTGAGAATTTTGGCGAAGGTATATGTGCAGCCAGCACTTTTAAGTCAAGGCATCTGAGGTGCCTTGGTGCGGAGGACGATCGAGCAACGCGATCGGCTGGAGCGTCAGGCTTGTAGGAGAGGTCCGCAGACTGGTACGGTCCGGAAGCCGTGGGAAAGTCTGAAGGGGAAAATCAATTCCTCTGTGTTCCTCGTCCGATCTGCTGAAGAAAAGTAAGGCAGGATGCCTCGAGGTCCAGAGTACCCAAATCTTAGTCCATCACGGTTGCTCCTTGGTCATTACGTTGCGGGTGGGTATCTCGGCTACAGGTAAGAGAAGTCTGATTCTACGTGGCAAGCCCGCAGGACTAAGAATGTTAGCCTGTTCATCTGATAGATCACGCCATCTGGGGGTGGGATTGTATGTCTTCTTAATCATTCTCGTCGCATGCACGACCGACAAGGGAGATCGAGAATCGCTGCAATGCTGCACCTTTCGAGCACATATCCTCAGCAGAACTGGTGCCGCTAACTCAAGGAAAAAAAAACAATCAGTAAAAGCAGAAATGTCACATTTGGTCAAGATAAGGAGGCCAGCACTGTGATCGAAGAGTGCGTGGCAGATTCCAGTTAGCAAGACCAAAGACCAATCGGAGAAGGGTTCGGACGCCCGGTGGTGGAGGGGAAGTGGCGCCTGGTTGCTGAGGCGGTCATTTGCCATCGCTCAGGCACCCACATTTCCTCTTCCATCTTCCCGTCCCGACAGCCAGTTTTCTCCCTCCCACCAACTACGCTCCAGAATGTCGATAAGCTCGATGGCCCCACAAAGCTTGACTGACGCCAGTACTCAATTGAATTGGTGACTGCCACCTTGGACGACATCCCACTTTCACCATCCACACACCCTCCTAGTCGATACTGCCGAGCCGATCGGATAGCAGAGTACCACCAATTGCACCATGCATTTCCCTCAGCAACACCGCGAGGACTTGGATGGCCCACTGAACTTTTCCAAGAGACAGACTCATGCGGTTCTTTCACAGTAGTCTTTGATGGACATATAGACGAATGCTTCACATTGGCGGATTGATTGCGGGGACGCCTCTCTTATCGCGAGATTTGACCCACCCTGCTAATTATTGTCATCCAGCTAACGCCCAATCACCATGCATGCAGTCGCCCCTCTCATTCCGCTTGCAATACATATTCCATGCTCAGCCGACCACATAGGCCCCCATTGCGCATGCAGGTGCCATATTTCGTCTTGCGGGCAGGACATGCTCATTGGACGCCTGTGTGTTGACGGGGCAAAGTTGGTCAACCGAAAACACTCGTCCTATCACAGCAGAGCTTTCACCATATCATCCTAAGAAGCTCCGGGAAGGATTAACGCTTTCATGCTAATGCAGATGCGTTATCAGGCACTACGATTGTGTGCTGCATGGCCACCAAACCAGCTGGAAAGAAGCCAGGCGACCATTAAAGAGATGGAAGTCCACATTTCCCAGCCAAACCTCTTGTAGAGAGGAAGTCGCTCCAAGTTTCAAGACACCTTAAAGATCTACCGTCCGTCAAGATGACTGGCCATTACGAAGAAGGCGCTCTCAAAGGGCTTCAAGTGGACCAGGAGAAACTTGGAGCGACTGAGACTAGTATCGATGAAAATGACCTCGACGGCCTTCTGGTTCAGTTGAAGGACATGGTCGCTGAAAATGAGCTCGATGTCAACTTTCCGGCCCACATCCTCAACCAGGCACGGGAGATTCTCGATGCCGAGGCCCACCACGTTGATCTCTCTCAGCTCCAGACTCTCGTGGCGGAGATAGCCAAGCACCGCGACCTGATTGCGAACGACTCGCCGTACGCAGAAGTCCGCGCCGTGGTGGACCCGACGGACGACCCTGAAGTCTCGGCCAACACCTTCCGGGCCTGGTTCCTCGGGCTGCTGTCGACCATCATCTTCACCGCGGTCAATCAGTTCTTTACCTTGCGTTATCCCACCATCAACATCTACTCGTTAGTGGCCCAGCTGCTCTCGTACCCGTGCGGCGTGTTTCTGGCGCAGGTCCTACCCACGCGAAAGTGGAATCTCTTCGGCTGGCACTTTACCCTCAATCCCGGGCCCTTTAATCAGAAAGAACACATGCTGATTACTGTCATGTCCAATGTGTCATTTGGAGGCACGAACGGTACAGCTTATATCACCTACATCTTTCAGGTCCTCAAGGCCAAGTCCTTCTACAACATGACGTCTCTCTACGATCAGGCCGGATTCCAGATCCTGTCGGCTCTGTCAACTCAGCTGATAGGCTACGGATGTGCCGGTCTGACGCGGAGATTCCTGGTGTATCCGCCATCGATGATCTTCCCCAAGTGCCTGTCCACCATCGCATTGAACAAGGCCTTGCATGGCGACGAGGGACGTGACAAGGAGGTGAACGGGTGGAAGATCAGCCGCTACCGCTTCTTCATGTACTGCTTCATCGCCATGTTCGTCTACTATTGGTTTCCCGCGTACATCTTCCAGGCCCTATCCTACTTCAACTGGATCAACTGGATCTCGCCCGAAAACGTCAAACTGGCCATCATCACCGGCACCATCAACGGCATGGCGCTCAACCCATTCCCCACCTTCGACTGGAACATCGTCTACGCTCTCTACGACCCGATCATCTACCCCTTCTACTCGCTGCTGAACAACGTGGTCGGGATGGCAATTGCATCCTTCTTCATCATTGTGCCGATCTACTTCACCAACGTCTGGAACACAGCCTACTTCCCCATCAATAGCAACGACGTCTTCGACAACACGGGCAGCACGTACGACGTGAGTAAGGTGCTGAACAGCAAGGCCGAGTTTGACGTCGAGGCCTACAGCAAATACAGTCCCCCATACCTCTCTGCTGGATACAGCATCATGTTCATGGCATCGTTTGCAGGATACTTAGCCGCCATCGTGCACATCGCGCTCTACAACCGACAGGAGATTACCAAGGGGGTGCGAGCGCTGTGGAAGTGGACCAGTGCACGCGACGAGCACGAGGATGTGCACAACCGCCTGATGCAGCGGTACAAGGAGGTACCCGAATGGTGGTACCTGACCATCCTCGCAATTTCTTTCGTGTTTGGCTGCATCGCCGTGGCCCACTACGACACGGGCATGCCAATCTGGGGCCTGGTGTTCGCCATCGGGCTGTGCCTGTTCGTGCAGATCCCCTACGGGATGATCTACGCCATCACCAACACGGAGGTGACCAACAACGTGATCGCCGAGTTCGTGGCGGGCTACGCCATCCCCGGGAAACCCGTGGCCAATCTGATGTTCAAGGCGTTCGGGTACATCGCGTGTGCGCAGTCGATCCAGTTCGCGGCCGACCTGAAGCTGGGCCACTACATGAAGATCGCGCCGCGCGTGCTCTTCTCCGCGCAGGTGGTGGCCACCGTCGTCGGGGCGTTTGTGTCCGTGGGCGTGAATGCGTGGGCCCTGGCCAACATCTCTGACGTGTGCTCGCTCGACCAGCCCAGCAAATTTACCTGCGCCGGTATGTACCCCCCTTTCCTACAACTCATCTAATACCCCTAAACCCGCACACTAATACCTTGTACCTTCAGGCGCCCGCGACTTCTACACCTCTTCCGTGATCTGGGGCGCCATCGGCCCGCGCCGCCTGTTCGGGGTGGGCCAGATTTACAACCCCCTGCTGTACGGGTTCCTGATCGGCGCCCTCCTTCCGATCCCCTTCTACCTGCTGACGCGGTTCATCCCGCGCAGCAGCCCGGCCGCGACCGCCGCACGCTATATCTACATTCCGCTCGTCCTCTCAGGGATGTCCAACCTGGCGCCCTACAACATCAGCTACGGCTGGCCGGCGTTGGTGGTCGGGTTCGCGGTGAACTACTACGCCAAGCGGCGGTGGGTCGGGTGGTGGGAGAAGTACGCGTACGTGTTCACGTCGGCGATGTCGTGCGGAGTGGCGATCGCGGCGATTGTGATCTTCTTTGCCGTGGAGTATCACGAGGTCGACCTCAACTGGTGGGGGAATGAGGTCTCGTATGTGGGGTGTGATGATGCAGGGTGTCCGCTGTTGGCGATGCCGGCGTCTGGGAAGATTTAGTGGGCCGAGGATTGGGTGGATGGGTGGGGTGGGGTTCTTAGGGTTGATCTTGTTATGGTATGGGTTGGGGACAAAGTGCTGAAAGATATGATTTGTATGTATTGGTCTATGTGGTATAATCTAGTCTATATCTATATCTATCTATGAACTCCCGCACAAGACAGTAACCAGAAAAGAACGCTGACACAGTAGTCAACAAAAGCCAAGCAAACCAAACCAAAACACAGCGTATATACAGTCCGATGAGCGAGAACAGCCCACAATCCGAGAAAACAATCACAGTCCACAGACCCTACTCTATCAGCAGCAGCAGGAGCCCTCAAACAACACCCTTCTCAGCCATTCCCCTTTCTCAGCCCAACAACCCCCCCCTAGAATACCACCTCCTCCCTCCTCCTATTCCGCCTTCTTCGAAGCCTTGGTCCTCAACTTCATCAAGCCAAACACCAACGCATAGCCCGCAATCGCAAAGATGACACAAATCCCGGCATCCCTCCACCCATAATAATAATGATTAATATTCAGGGTGGTCAAGAAATCACTCCCGTCCGTGTACTCGCACACGCGACAGTCGGCCGTCGCATTGGGGTTCACCAGGTTCACGCGCCAGCCTTTATTCTCCACATAACTCTGGAGGTACTCGCCACAGGTGCCATTCACGGGATCGAAGACCGCGAACTCGTCCGCGTTACACGTGACCTTGGCGCCCCAGATGCCGAACACCAGCATCCCGCTCGTGACGTAGTTGAAGGGGTTGAGGTAGTACATCCAGTAGCGCCAGAAGACGCTGAGCTGGGAGTAGGGGACGAAGACGCCGCACATCAGCACTAAGAACGAGATGATGAGGGGGTTGACGAGCGCGGCGAAGGTGGGGTTCGGGGCGTAGGCGGCGACGAACTGGCCGATGCCCGTGTAGATGAACTCGTAGATGAGCATGATGAAGAAGGTGGAGCCGGCGCGGGAGGAGTCGGTGGGGAGCTTGGTCTGGTAGTACCAGCAGACGAAGTAGAGGACCGCGCAGACGCAGAGGTAGGGGAACTCGGACACGATCAACCCGGTCACGAAGGCGACCCAGCTGTACATCTTGGACTTCTTCTCGCGGGCGTCGTAGATGTCGCGGCGTTGGATGAAGAGGGGTTGCAGCTGGTTGATGACTCCCGGGGCCACGAAGACGAAGTTGAAGATGGTGAAGAGTTTGAGGTTCAGGGCGGAGACGCTGGGCCCGATGTGCCAGAAGCTGAAGCCGTTCAGTAAGGCGGAGATGATGTGGAGCGAGAATTTGTTGTTGACGTAGTTCGTGTTGCGGAAGAGGGCCACGTTCATGCGGTGGGTGACGATCTTGATCTGGTCCCAGAGCGGCATCGAGAACTCGTAGCCGTCGTCGTGGGTGCCGGGGGGCTTGGAGGCGGCGTCGGCGATGAGCCGGTCCAGTTCCTGCATCATGTGCGTGTGCTCGGGCGAGTCGAGCCAGACTTGGTGCCAGTCCTTGTCGCGGACGGACTCGATGCCCCCGGTCACCACGTCGATCATGAACTCCGCCGGGTTGGCTTCCACGGGGCACGGCGCGCCGTATTGGCCGAAGTAGTGCTTGATTGTGGCCCCGTTGTCGCCGATGTCGCCGAAGTACACGGTCTTGCCGCCGCGCGCGAGGAGGAGGAGGGTGTCGAACTGCGCGAAGAGCTGCGCGGAGGGCTGGTGGATTGTTACGAGCACGGCCTGGCCCACGTCGGCGAGTTTGCGGAGGAAGCGCACTGTGTTGTACGCGGACTGGCCGTCCAGGCCCGAGGTGGGCTCGTCGAGGAAGATCAGGATGCTGGGTTTGCTGACCAGTTCCACGCCGATGGTCACGCGCTTGCGCTGCTCCACGCTCAGCCCGTTGCCCACCGTCCCGATCAGCGTGTCCGCCAGGTCGTGCAGCTCAAGCAGGTCGATGATCGTCTCCACGTACTTGAGCTTCTCGGCCCGCGGGGTGTCGCGCGACTGGCGCAGCAGGGCGGAGAACTCGAGGGCCTCGCGGACCGTGGCGTAGGGCTCGTGCACGTCCAACTGCTCGCAGTAGCCCGCCATGCGCTGGAACGAGACGGGCAGCTCGCGCCCGTCCACCATGATCGACCCCTTGATGGTGCCTTCGGTCTTGCGCTGCGCGAGCACGTCCAGCAGGGTCGTCTTGCCGGCGCCCGACGAGCCCATCAGCGCCCCGAGCATGCCGGGCTTCACCCACCCGTGGATGTTGTCCAGGAGCACGCGCTCGCCCGTGGGCGTGTTCACCGTGTAGGTCAGGTTGCGCCAGGTGAAGATCGAGGTGTTGCGGCTCAGGTTGTCGTCGTCCACCGAGGCCAGGGCATCGCCGGACCCCTTCTCGTGGGCCGGGCCCTTCTCGTGCTGGCCTTCCTCGTCACGGTGCGCCGCTCGCTGCGCCTTGAGCTTCTCGCGGGGGATGAGCAGCGAGGCGCCCGACCCGGCGCCGGCGTTCCAGTAGCAGGTGCAGACGATGGTCAGCACGGCGAAGAACCCCCACCAGGCCCAGAGGATGCCGTAGTTGCGCCACAGCTGCGAGTGCTTGTAGTGCAGAGAGGCCAGGTACTGGTCGCCCGTCACGTAGTCGGCGCCGCGGACGGCCCCGCCCACGCCGGTGCAGGCCTTGTTGGCCGGGTCGACATCCTCGTAGCCGGGGCCGGAGGGGACCAGGTTGTTGCCCACGCAGGGGATGACCTGGTCGTGGAACTCGTTGGACAGCGCCGCCTGGAAGGCGTAGGCGAAGGGGTTGGTGTAGTACAGCTCCAGGAACCAGTTCTTGATGTGCGGCTTGGGGATCATGTAGCCCGCGTACATGACGATGCCCTTGACGGCCGTGCCGGAGATCTTGGAGGCCGCCTCGAAGGTGCTGAACCCGGCCCCGATGCAGCGGAACAGCGCCGTCACGCAGAGCGTCGTCGTGAACAGGATCGCCCAGAAGGTGAAGAAGGCCGCCGCCGTGTGCTTCAGCCCCACCATCCAGTAGAGCACCACGGAGAAGAGACTGCATTGCACCAGCAGCACGGGCAGGTCGGCGGTGATCTGCGCGAGGCAGAAGGCGGCCGGGTGGTACATGGCGAACGACTTGTGTTTCACGAGGACGGGGCGGCCCTTGAACGACTCGGTGACCTCGGACATGGCAACGATGCAGTTGTACAGCAGGGCGAAGAAGACCGCGCCGCCTTTCGTGAACAGACCGGCGGTCGTTTGCGGTGAGTTGTAGAAGCAGGAGCCGGCGATCAACGCCATGACGATGGACAGGATCTGTTTGATCAGGAAGGTGGATTTCTCACCCCAGAGGATCTGATATTGACGGATCGTGCAGGCGAGGAGTTGTTCGCCAAACCCAGTGGTCAGCGCACTATTCTTGGGAATGCGCTTGGACTTCTCCCATGCGACGGACTCCTTAAAGTCCTGCGTGCGTTGATGGGCGATGTCCGAGGAGGGATAGTCATATTCCCTGATCATGTGCTGGTACAAAGGGGACTGGCGGTACTCGGCGAGGATGGCGTCTGCGTTGCGAGGGAAACGGTTCTCAAAGCCAGGCTTGATTTTTCTCTCGGTTGGGACAGTCACACCAGTGAGATAGTCACCTGACACCTTGTTAGCCCTCACTCCCTTCCTCCATCACGGCAATATAATATCGACTTACCAATATTTGCACCGTCCGCGTACACGAACCCAAGCTCCTCCATAAACGGCTTCGCCGACGCAGCAGGGCCATAGTAGATCTGCTTGCCCTCATCCAACACAAGCACCTTGTCGAAGAGGTTGTAAATTCCGTTTCCGGCCTGATACAACGTCACGATTGTCGACAGTCCAAGAATGTTGGTCATCGACCGTAAAGCCTTGGCCCACTCCAAGGCGGTACTGGCATCGAGACCGCGCGTGCTGTTATCCCAGGTGAAGACCGAGCCGTTGGTGGCCATGCACTCGATGATCGATACACGCTTACGCTCACCGCCAGACACGCCGCGTACAAACTCATTGCCCACCTTGGTATCCTCGGTGTGGGCGATCTTCATCGACTCCATCAGGAACTGCTTGGTGTCGGCGACGTAGTTCTCGGCGGGTAGGTTGGCGGGGACCTTGAGCTTGGTGGCGAAGTCCATGGTCTGGCCGACGGTCAGACGCGGGTAGAAGAGCTCCTCCTCGGTGTTCATGACGATCTGGCCGCGGTACTGCGCGGCCTCCTGGGGGCTCATGTCGCCGAAGAAGACATCTCCAGAAACGGAGCGGTACCCCTCGCGGCGGTTGGACAGCATTTTCAGTAGGGTGGTGCACCCGGATCCCGGCCGGCCCAGGACCAGCAGCATCTCGCCGGGCTTGACGCATCCGTGGCTGTCCTGGAGGATCGACTTGAGCGGCGGCTTGCGCATGAAGTCCCTGATGAGTTGCGGCACGTTGTACTGCGTGATCAGGTTCTCCTTGACGGCCGCCTCGGCCGCCACCACCTCCACCGTCAGGTTCTGCCACGTCACCCCCAGCTCGCGGCGCTTGTAGCCCGCGGCCTCGGAGCGGCGCTGGTTCTCCCGGACGCGGTCGGCCATGCTCCATTCCGTCTCGATACGCGGTTGTTGCGGGGTGCTGTGAGGGTCGTTGTGGTGGTTGGGGCTGGCGAGCGTCTCGGCGCTGCGGGCTTCGCGGATCCCGGACTCGGGCACGGCCAGGGTTTCGGCGCTAGAGGCCTCGCGGACGTTGATCTCGGGGATTCCTAGGTGTGTCTTCTTCTCCGAGAGCTGGGCCTCATCGTCGGAGTGGTCGCCGTATTCCGTTGGGGCTGTCGAAGCCGACGGCTCCTCATGGAAGGATTCCATGGCTTTTGGGTGTGTGTGTCGAACGTGTTAAGTGAGTGGAGATTTCTGTAACCATGCAAATTCGAAAATGAAAGAACTAGAACTAAGACTAATAACAAAGTATCAAATAAGACGTTGTGGTATTGTGCTGCAACCTAGCGAACCAGGTGGGATCGGACTAGGTATATGTACGAGTGCACGGGTACGCGGAATGGGAGGCTGACGGGCGTCCGTACCGACTCTGCCGGTGGAACAGTTCCGCAGTATGAGCGATTTGCCTCTGGTACCTGAAAGTTTGAATATAATCTTGAGGGAAAACGCTCGGACAGCGGCAGCGAGCCGAACTGCCGCTCGACTAAAAGGGAAAGGGGCTGCGAGGGGAACAACCTATGCTAAACACATTGCGTATCCACCGAACTGGTTGCATATTGATTAGCAGCTACCTTATTGGTAAGGGCACCTCTTCCCCCTGGTGCCTGGGCTTGGTGTTCTAGATGCTAGCCATTGCCGCCTGTCCCGAGTGCTGCGATGCCGTGCGTGCATGCCGTCAGTTACTGTAGTGCTCACTAAGCCATTCACAGGGCGCCAGTGAAAAGGTACTGTACTATCTATACCTGAGTTTTCGATAACCCAACGCATCTACATTGCTGTCGATAGCAATTTCACCCTCAATGGCAGCCAACCAAAAATAAACCCTGTCAAAAGTGCATCATGAACTCAGCCAAGCCAATTATTACCGGAACAGGCAAGATCCTACGCGAACCCCATCAAAAACGGCAAGCCGAGACGCTGGCCGAATAAGGAGGCGAACCCCGATAAGGGATGATGTCGCGATTGGGACGATCCCGATCTACCCGGGTGGAGTCCCAAGCTGTCGGGTTGGCAGGATGTGCCACACCAGTGTACCACTTTGCCTGGATAAATCTGGTATGCTATCTTTACGACACGTTGAACCCATGTCAAGGTTGAACCCCTTGCCGCGGTTCCGCGGCTGGGTAGATTGAGTTCGTCTGGTCGATCTGCGGTGCGATGCCAGATTTGACTCCCGCGGCTGATCTGAGGTTTTGCTTATATATTATTCTGCACGGCGGCTGCCAAGGGCATAGAGGCTTGCGCCAACCGAGCTAATCTGACGCCAGTCGGTCTACTTTCTGAAGGTGTATCGCAGTTTATCCGGCTCTGAAAATTATGAGCTTGATAGGCATGCCCTTATCTTCGATTCTCAAACTGCCCCAATTGTTCTGTTGCCGATGCCGGATTTCCGGCCTGGTCTGGACACACCTCGGGTCGGCATGTAGTCCGGCAGCTGGTCCCTCGGCGGTTCTTCCGGCTAGACTGCAACCACAAAGGAGCCGGGGACTGATTATAAATGTTTAGACTTGGACAGTTGACATCCAGTGTGCTTCGATGTTATGGCCGAATTCTTTCAGATCTGGTTGGGTTTCAGGCATTATCCATGTGGCGATCCAACAACCTGCTCAACACATGGGTCAATATGATCAGATTGGAAGCGAGAGCCTTCATCACGTTGCGTACACCTATCGTTTAAGTTTAATGCATAATAGGGCACATGCCACTGTTGACCATCACACATGCTACGTTCTGTGAGTGTGGATTGACTGTCGATCCTATGTAAACAGCATGCAGATCTGACCCGTAAAGTAAAAGGAGAACCATAATGAACCTGCAACCCTAGTTATCCTTGACAGATTTCTGATAGTTTTAATTCTCAACCCAAGCCTTCAAACTCGATTGAAAGTAGAATCCAAGGTTACCACTCACACCATACTGTAGCAAAAAAGCTCGAAAGCGGCCTCGGCCCACCCACCCAATCCCGCTCCGTCCAACCCGGGGTTCGGAAGCTTGATATCCTCCGAACCCTGCCGAAAAGACCACCTGCATCTTCAACGACCACACCACCAGATGAACCACCCCTGAAGTCCCCAAGAATATCTTTTTCGATCAAACTAAGCCCCGCGGACCGGAAACCCAGTCCAAATGGAACCCCGACGACGAACGGCCCCCTACGGCCGCGCGTGCCTCAACTGCGCCCGCGCAAAATGCAAGTGTCTGCTGCGGACGACCGGGGGCGGGTGTGAGAGGTGACCACCCATACCCTACCTTACCCTATCCTAATATCTTCAACCAACCAATATATTCTGACCCTTGGGGCATAGGTGCATCCGACTAAAAAAAGAATGCATCCCCGCGCCAACGGTTCGGCAAAGGCGACCGCGCGCCTCGCGCACCGCGCGGCTGGAGCAGAAGCTCGACGGGTTGGTGTCGTTGCTGCAGACGGGGAATGCCCTTGGCGAGAGTGGCGGTGGTAGACCAAAATGTTTGACGGTGGATAGTGATCGGAGCGAGGCTCCAGCCAACACAGTCCCACCGCAAAACCCGTACGCCCTCCCCGCAGGCGTGGAGTTCGCCCCAGCGGAGGCAGAAGCGAACTGGGAAGTGCTCCGCACGCGGTATCTCCCTCTGCTTCCGTTGGTGCATTTCGACCACACCCTTACCGCTAGGACCCTCCGCCAGGAGCGCCCGTTCTTCTGGACGTGCGCCATGGCTGTAACGTGTAGTGACGGGGCGCGGCAGGAGGTATTAGGGCGAGCGGTGCGGGAGATGGCGGCGCGGGAGGTGGTGGTTGAAGGGCGGCGGACGGTGGATCTGTTGCTTGGGTTGCTTTGCTTGATCGGATGGTATGGTCACCTTCCATGTCTTTCATGCACATGACCTCCCCAGAGATCCGTGCTGACGAGCGATGACCGTAGGGGCCATTTCCGGTTCGCGATGGGCCCGTTGCTGACGGTGTTCTCGCATCTCAGCACGGCGTTGACGCTGGACCTTGAGCTGCAGCGGCGGGAAGTCAGGGGGGTTAGCTACCTGCAGCATCTCGCCGTGCCGCTCCAGTTCCAGGGCAAGATCCGGGTGCCGGACGCCAGGACCCAGGAGCATCGGCGGATGGTGGTGGCGTGTTTTCTTTTGACTTCGAGGTGGGTTGCACTCTGGGAGAGTCTGGTTGTGCTGGTGCTGATGCTGAGTCGTAGCGCGGCGACGTTTCACGGGCGGGTGGAGAGTCTATCCTGGTCGCCGTATTTGGAGGAATGTTTGACTGTGCTGAAAGACATAAACGAGGCGCCCGGGGACGCGTTGCTGGTGGGGCTGGTCAAGCTGCAGCTGATCGCTGCGAAAGTCACCAGGGTGTGGGCGCAGAGTGGGGATTGCAAGACGGATGAGGGCACGCGCATGATCGGGCCGTTTGTTGCTTCGCTCAACATGGAGTTGGCGGCGGTGCGGGACCAGGCCCCGGCGCATCTCAAGACAAACCGTATGTCGAGCTTGGCCCATTGCTGCAACAGAAACATACCCTAATTGCGGTGCAGGAATCTTCCAAACAATGGCATCACACGCAGAGATAACAATTAACGAACTCGCTCTCCTCCGCACTTCAACCGTCCCCATCGCAACCGACACAGACCTACAGACCCTCAACCACCTATTCCAATGCGTAGAAGCCATCAAATCCTGGATCCGCACGATCCTCCAATTCGACGCAGCAGAGTACATCGGCTTCCCTTTTCCGCTGTGGAAACAATTCCGGACCGTCGTGCTCGTCACCCTCCGCCTGGGGACGTTAGACGACCCCGCCTGGGATACGGGTCTGGTGCGACGGTCCGTCGATCTGCCCGGCGTGCTGGACGAGATCGCAGGGAAGTTGGAGCGTGGCCGGTCGCAGACGGAGGAGCCTGTGTTCGCTACGTTCATCAAGATGGTCCATATGCTGAAGTCGTGGACTTGGTCGGTATATGCCGACGGTCCGAGCGAACAGGCCAGCTCTGGTTCCCCGTCAGGGATTGTGTCGGAGGGAGAGCAGGCTGCAATGGAGAATCAACCGTGGGTGGATTTCGTGTGTGATGACGAGTTTTGGAATGTGGAGTTCCTGGGGTGGCCTTACCTCTCTTGAATTGTATATATCGACTTGAGGTTCGAGTAATAGTTACCGTGCCGGCATCTCCCAAGAAACTTGACCCCAAGCATTACTCACTCTCCCTTTCAAGCACAACAATCAATTCTGTTCTACTTAACACATGAAACAATAAAATCCCTCACCCCTCCCCTAAAGCCCACGCAACCTCTCAAAAGTCTCCTCCCAAACCCCCGCCCTCCTCCCATCAAACACAAACCCCCTCAACACCCTCTCCACCTTTCCCCAAGTGTGCAAATCCCCCCTCACCTCTCTTAGGATGCGTTCCCACAACCCGCGCTGCACCCTTACCGGCGTCAACCCCCGATTCCTCGGAGTGGTGATCACCATCCACAACCAGACCAAACAATCCTTCAACCCATCATCCGTCCACAGTTGGGGAACAGCCAACAACATCTCCGCCCGTTTTCTGGGCTGCCGGAAGATGACGGCGGCCGGGTGGAGCCCCATGTGGCTGACGTCGTCGGCGAGACACAGCAGGGCGACGAAGATGCATTTCTCGACCCGATTCAACGGGTGCGAGGCGCTGTGCCGCCACACGGGGATGTTGCTGGGGTCGTCGACCAACAGATATCGGTCGTGCCAGTCGTGGAAACTCGCCAGGATCTCGAGGGAGGCCGGGGTGATGCGGCCCTGCTTCAATAAAGTGGAGAAGCCCTTGGGGATATCGAGGGTCTGGTTCAGGATGTAGGTGTCCAAGGTGGGAGGATATGCCCGTGGGGGGGAAGGGGACTCCTTCTCGTCGGGGGAAAGGGAGGTCTGCATGTGCAACACCAACAGACTCCGGGCGACGTTCGCCGCCATCCGCAGGTCCTGGCTGATGGCCGGCACGGAACTGCCAACCTGGCTTTCGCCGCCGCGGGCGCGGATCACCGCCTCGAAGCCGGCGGTGTGCGCGCGGCTGTAGGCTACGTTGGCGAGATAGTCGTCGACCGTGATGAGGAGGGTGAGGGCGGAGATGAGGAGGTCGGTCACGTGGCCCGTAGCGAGGGTGTGTTGGATCTCGGTGAGGAGGCGCGCGCGGTGGTAGAGGGCTGCGGCGTGTAGCTTCGCGGAGGCCGGGGAGAGGTCCTCGGACTGGGACTCCAGGTTGCACAACGCGAATACGGCAAGGCCGTGCAGTATGATGTCGTGGTGGGCGGACCAGTGCAGGAAGACGGAGCCGTAGGTTTGGCGCTGGGCGGGGGCGTGGCTGAGGACTTGGGAGTCGTGCGGAAGGAGGACGTCGAAGTCTGCCCCCCCCTCCTTCGTTCAGAACAGATAGGGAAGTGTGGGTAAGAAAGGAAGTTTACTGGGAGACGGGGGGAAAAGGATAGGGCTACGTACAGTAAGAGAGCGCGCGGGCGGTGCAGGGTCCCTTGGAGGCCGGGGTCGCCAGCGGGTAGAATCGCCCCGTGCCGATAGGGCTCGGGCTCGGCAGTGTTCGGCCGGGCTTGCACTGCACGGCCCAGCGGCGTCGATCTTTGTGTGGATCATCTTTAGACTCTGGGTCTTCGGGGTCTACCACGAATGTGCCCAACGCACGCTGGAACCGTGGAGACTGGTGCTGTTGACGGCGCTGGGCGGCACGGGCGGCGACCAGGGCGTGGACGGGTCGACGCGATTTGTCGGGTTGCATCTCGGTGGGGTTGTAGGGGATGAACATGGTGGATGTGGTGGTCAGCGTTCTCATATGTAAGGATAATTAATGATTTCTCAACATTTTTGATTAGAGTGATTATAAAGGTGGGGTAGACAGCAGGAAGCGGTTAGCTGGATTGGGGATAGCAGCAGCAGATAAGTGGCTTGTTCGCCTGGAACGCGGAATGCGGATACGGTACGGAGTAACTTACTCACAAGTAAGCTTAGCTGAGGCTAAGGCTCAGCCTTGCCATGTGGGAATTGCTTACCTCCCCTCACTTATCATTGGCCACCTCGTCTAGATAGAGGAGTTTCACCTTCAGCCTGGAGATCACTCGTCCATGCACAGCACTATATAAACCCTGCTAATTCCCCATCCTTTCTTCCTCCTAGATAGTCCCTCCAAACAACCCAATTCAACCACAATGTCATCGCCATCACAATCAACCTTCACCCCCCTCCTCCCATCCCAACCGCTCCCCCCAAATGGCCCCATCCGCTTCCCCTTCCATCCCCCGAACTTCTCCGTCATGCTGCGCGACAACATGACCCTCAGCAGCTGGCTCCTGAGTGGCGCGCTCCTCCAGGGCGTCGCCTGGAGTCTCCTCGGCCCGAAATCCCTCATCCCGCCCACCGTCATCCTCCTCTACCGCCTCATCGACCACCTCCTAATGGCCGCCCACATCACCCGCAACCGCTACATGGACCACACCCTGCAGACCAAATTCTCGGCTCAGTACCCGACGACCCCATCCACCACCAGCAACAGCAACAGCAACAGCAACAGCAACAGCAACAGCAACAGCAACCCCCAGACCCTCTCAAAATACTTTCCCGCCACGCCGGCGGCCCAACCGCTCGTCGTCTTCCACCTCGGCGCCCGCGTCAACCACCCACTAGGCATGTTCGCCCCAGGCTGGAAGGACCTGGGCGCGTACAACCAAAGAATGCTGACGTCGATGACATCCGACGCCGAGAAGTACGGACTGTTGGGGGTGTCGCACTGGACCAAGGATTCAGCTGCCGCGGGCAATGAAACGATGTGGGTGTTTTATCTGCGGGACTACGACGCGCTGCATCGGTTCGCGCACGACCCCGTGCACATGGATGGGGTGCGGTGGTGGGCGGATGTCGTCAAGGCGCATCCGCATATTGCCATCTTTCATGAGACGTACCTCGTCAATCAGGGGCAGTGGGAGAATATCTATATGAATTCGGAGCCGACGGGGTTGGCGGATGCGTGGTTTCCGGTTTCGGTTGAGGAACCAAAGGGGGAGGGGGAGAAGGGCAGGATGTGGGTGAGGGCGCCGGTGGATGCGCGCGGGGGCGCGCTGCGGTCGGCGTCGCGGCGGTTGCAGCGCGGGTGGTTAGAGGAGGTGGAGAAGGTTGAGGGGGAGTTGTATGATCGGAGTTTTGCGGCGTGAGTTCGGGTGATTCGGAGGGTTTAAGAGTGTGGTGGTGAGAAGGTGGGGATTGGGGACTGGGTGGATTGGCTTGCTGATGGATACTGTTTTATGGATTAGGGCAGGAGTGGGAGATAAACATAAGCAGGGTATGACTCTTACAATCTGACATGCAATTCTAGACGCCCCACCATTGCTAGCCCGGCGGGGCTTGTGTAAAGTGTGGGACGCTAAGACTTTCTCAAGGAGAAATCGTGGGGAAAGACAATGTAGTTCAACAGCGAGCCGTCTATGCAAGTCAGCCAACAAGCATCCCTTTTCCGCGTACCAGTCCGTATGAAGCTGTCCAATTAGTCCACACAACCATCTGTATTAGTTACCACAATCCGTCGAGAAATTGAGATTAGATAATAAGTTACAATCGTTTTGGCAATTCACATTTTGTAGGATCTTGCAACTCTACCTATACACGAAGGCACGGATTCCAATACTTCTAACAACTCTTCGAATTTCGTGAACAAGACAAATAGCGTTGCTAATATGACCTGAGGCAACACGTAACTCGAGCTATTCGCGAGGGCCGAGGGTGGAATCCATAACACAGTTTCTCCGCAGGCTTGTTACCCAACCAAATGCTTAACTTTACGAAAGCCGTGGTTCTCCCTGCTGCTCGGCTTTGCAGTCCTCTCATTGTCCATATACAACTAATCAGATAACTCATTTTCATAGCTGCTATGGGAATTAAGGATTAAGAAGTATACGCTTGAAGTATATTGTCCCCTACCTGGAATGGCTGACGTCCTTGGCGACTGATCACAAGCGATCACAAAGATGGCAAAGATGGGCGGAGGGGTTGGATCAGCTTATGTGTTGCATCGTGTACACGTCATAATAAGAAGATTTCATCGTCAACACAAAGGTTGATAGTCTCCTGTTGCTGGACGGGATTGTGTGGTCCTTGAGACAGCCCGCGGAAGCTGTTCTCCCTCTACTATCTGATGCTTAAAACGTTGAAGTAAAAGATAGGTTTCCCCAAACTAGTCAAATGATTCTGAACTTTTGCGATCACAAAATATTAACTATGAGCCATTGCATTCTTTGCCTGTAGACTAACCTTGCATATAGCCCGACCCTGTAGCAAGCTCAAGAACCAAGATATCAACTAAGAATTGCCAGTTCTGGAACCAACAAGACACCCCCGCCAGCCCGGACCTCGACACTACTGATGTCAGTACATCTTCACTGGGATTGTTTTAATGAATGGGGAATAGAAAACAATGGCCTATTATCCAGTAAAAGTGAGTCAGTTGATAGTTTCCACAAAGGCGATAAACTATACCGCTAAGCATGAAGAGATCTTGTTATGGGTGGACTTAGATTAGTTCTCTGACCCAAGAGTACTTTGCAGAGATTGGGTGGGACAGTAGAGGGCGTAGTCTGCGGATTCGTCTTGTAACAAAGGTTCTGTACTTCGATAATTTACTTCACTAGGTGTGAGTCAACACCTGTCTTACGACGCGCATCCGCGTGGAGAGTACAACCAGTGGAGAAGGATTAGATTACATCTGGATGTCCGTGATTGCAATTGCGCTCCATCTAAGGTAATAGTATTTTAGAACAGATGCAGGTAATAGCCAGAATGTCATACTACCACGTATATGAGAATAAACTCGTCGCGGTCCTACCTACAATGATGGAGGACTGAGAGGAATACTTTTGTGGGACATAGAAGCTTTAAGTGAGATTGATTTGTCTTTATGTTGAGGTGTGGCCTATTTCCTGCGCTTCTAAATTCCGCCTATCGGTTTTCGTATCGCACCTTGTTATACAAAGTACCAATCCGGTCAACCTTGACCACAACCTCATCGCCGTCACGGAGGACCACCCGCGGCTCGCGAAAATACCCAATTCTCGCGGGGGTCCCCGTCAAGAAAATAGTCCCCGCCTCCAAGGTGGTTCCTTGCGAGAGGTAGGCGATCTGTTGGCGGATGGTGAACATCATTTCACTAGTGTGTCCATCCTGCACGGTAACTCCATTGTGGATGGCTTTGATTCCGAGCGTTTGAGGGTCCTTAATCACCGACGGAGCCACCAGCACCGGTCCTGATAAGGGTTGGTCAAAGGTGGACGATATAATGGTATATCAGAAGTTATTCCCAGAAATCACCAATCGGACAACTGCCATCGAGGCCCTTCGCAAAAGACCATTTGTGCGGTGGCCATCTGCAAGTTTTGGGCGGAGACGTCGTTGGAAATTGTATATCCCAGAACAGGGGCGAGATTCGCTCAGAGAACGTGAAAATTTTGATAGCGACAGAGGAAACAGGCACACCGAGTCTGAGTGATTGTGGTCGCGACGCGAAGCTGGTTTTCGCCTCTGAGGTGTATACATTGGCCACGGCGGAGGAGTTTGCGCGATCCCCGTTGTGCCGGTCGCGGCCGGAGCCACGATACTATGACAAGCAATCTTTGGGCAAGGCGCTTGAAGGCCGGAAATACATTATCATAAGACCGGATCGGTTCACTTATGCCGCGTGTAATACAAAGGAGGAGCTGAATGAGGCTCTGGGGGCAGCCATAATGTATATTCAAGGTCCTCGTGGCTAATGTTTGCCGTTTCTGGATTCCCGCGGCGATTCTTGTATCCTACGACTACCAGTCCGCCAAATAATACAAATCTATCTTCAAGTGAGAACTATGCCTCTTGGCCCAAGAAGTAAAGTATGAAGAGGATCATTTGTCTGCCCTAGTCCTGCATGTGAATATAACTAAAAGCTCAACCATAAAATGCAAGATTGTGAAATCAAAATTTTAAAAAAAGTATTTCGTTAAATAGGAATGAACCAAGCGATGTTGAACGGTTTCAGGAGCCCCGATCGCGCAATACTAGGAGGTCTAAATTGTAATAAAGGATAATGGCGCTGTTGATTCACCTTTGTTCCACACAAATCGTAAAGAGCGGCCCACCTATGCTATAACCAGCAACAGTGACTACGGAGGGGCTCGCAGGTTAGGCATCACTTTACTCGCCGTATCCGGTAGCAGCACGCTCAGTATAGTGGTGAAGCGACGCGAGATTTCCCAGTGCCCAATGCGTCGGAGACAATCGACCAGAGCACAAAGTGTGCTCGATCCGGATGCTCGCGGGCGACTTACGCTGAAACCGTTGGCCTCGAACAACAGTTGTTGGCAATTAATCCCCAGCCGAGTCAGCCTCGGAAAAACCAGGGCCGGCTGGTCCGCATCCAGCGCATCCGAGCCAAATGTCGTGTAACAGAACCAGACCAAGGCCGCGCGGAAGACGACGCGCGGGATGTGAATAGGCGGCTCAACGCCGAAACTGGTTTGGTCCATAGTCTTCAAGATGCACATCGCATGCAAAGCACATCGATCACCATCCGTGGAAGAAGCCCACCGACGGACCTCGTTCTCAAGGCCCCGCGCAGCCTCTACGCCCTCGCGACCGATAACGAGCTCGAGACTATTGAGGTTGGCATAGAGACTGATAAAGATTGAATGCCACAGCACGCTCAGCTTATAGGGATCAGACTCGTTTTTTGGGCGCGCCACCGTAGCCGTTTCATGGCAAGTCAACAGCCAGTTTTCGATGGATTGCCGCTCAGAAGCCAACTCTCGACCCCCGAAACGGCAATGGGTACGGATGCAGCAACCGGATCAATTCCACATATCCCTGGAAGTCAGTCATGACGGCCCCATGCGGTAGTGAGTGCCTCTTAGGATGAGCAAAATCAAGCGTCGTGCCATTCATGGCTCTCACAGGCTCAGAAGATCGAGAAGCCATCAGCAGGATTGCCCATTCCTGGGCCGTTGGAGCCGCCCACAAGTCGTCATTCGCGATCAATGGGAGGTTGGAGAGCGAGTGCCGCAAGTACGTATCGGTCAGAAACAGCTGAGACATCTCAACATCGTGAATATAGACCGCCGCGGCAACTCTCTCACAGCAAAACGGCAGTTAATTTTGTGGGATTGTCCTAACAGTCGCGAAATACTGACCGGTTTCGCTCCTCTGCGATGTGCCATATCTTCCAGGCATTCTCTGGGTCGTTCACAACAGAGGTAGAATCGACATAGGCAGAGGCCCCCTTAATTTGAAACATACTGCACTGTCTGACCCACTGTCAAGAAGAAACTCGCTGTCAGAACGGCTTCTGCCGAAGAAATGCAACGGAAAGTCATAGGAATCAAGCTCACTGCAATATGGGTACCGTGGAAGCTTTGTGCGATGATGACATCTTGGGGCCTCTATGCCTTGTGTTTCAGCACAATACAACCGTCCTTGAGTAGGAGAGAGGTATATGGACTCAGAGAAATAGTTCTTACCCCGGAGAGCAGGCCGTAAGTTTGACCAATGAGGGCAGCCTGGATCATCGACATCGTGTCTAGACCCTGATTCATGATGTAGTCTCCCCACTAAGCGAGCTGATATGACCATTCCCAGTCCAGTCGTGATTTTCAGCTTCGAAATCGTCCAACAACCCACCGTGGAAAGAATTGCCTTATTCAAGGTCTCGAACAAAATCTGGCCTTGTTCCACCGCGTGGGCCAAGCCGACAAACAAGCTGCCGACGGAACAGATTGACAGCAGAGGAACGAATTCTTCGCAGATAGTCGGAAACTTGGGACGTGGACAATTGGGAAAACAGGGTGCACTCCTGTCAGATAAACCTGGATGCAAAGATTTAAAAGGTCCGTGGAGGGGAGAGGGGCGCTGGGAATGTGGTGCTGCAATTTTGCCTGTAGGCTTCCGCGGTATTCTTCATTCACCTGCATCAGCCGCTCGACCCCCACGTTCGGGGTCGTAAAACCTGTCTTGGGCTCCCCTATATACGTGAACCATTGTCGCCGGACTATCTCTTCTCGGGCCTCCAAGGCCTCATCCAAGGCGACCAGTCGATTCCGGTTCATCGTGGGCGCATCCGAACGATGGCCCCCATTCTCACCAGTGGGGCCACAAGCGGAGGTCGACCATAGTATACTGGAATTGAGCGCTCCCAAGTCAAACTCCTCGGTTGTCATTCAAATTGGTGCTCGCGCAGCCGGACCAGCAATCCAGTGCTGACCTTGGTCGGGACCATGTTGTGCGGCGTTAGGATGCGAAACACTCAGAAGCCGATTGTTCGGATCGAGGATTGATGCTGGGCTTTGTATCTCATTATGAAAGTCAGGCAATGAAGATGGGGCCCCGGTAGCTTCTACACGCTTAGTTTCTGCATGGCGGTTCTAGAAGCTGGGAGTGAGGGGAATTGTCGCATGGTAATCGAGGGTAGGATCAGGCGCATATGACGGCTGTCCAGTATCTCCAAGCGAGGCGTAGTAAGGCTCTATGCTCATCAATCTCCGGGCGGCAGGAGATCCTGAAGTATGCCTGTTGAAGGCAGACTCGGCAGAGTCGCAGTGTTATTGGTGGTGCTGGTTGTGCTGACGGATGTTCTCCTTCGAGCGGATGAGGGACTGCTCAACTGTAGGCCCGTCAAAGGACTTACCCGGGTAGCACTGGATTTCAACGGACTCAGTTCCCGGTGACAACGCGCATGTCGGAGAAGAGAATCGTGTCGGCTAAATGCGCGGCGACAAATTATGCAGGCAAATGGTCTCTCCTGTGTATGAGTTCGGATGTGGCGGGCGTGGTGTTCATCTTTGGTGAAAGATCTGGAACACCAGGTGCAGGTCCTGGACCGGTGACCACGGGGAGGATGAGCACGATTGGATTGCATTTTCTTACAATATGTGGTCATGATGCGGAGCTAAGGGGGGAAGGCAAGTCAAAGAGAGAATGGAGAAAGGTAGAAAGGAGCTGGATCATGATTTCTCTTTCCCTCTAATTCCGGGACTTATATCAAAGGAGGGTAGCTGGCCAACCGAGGAGCGAGTGGTATGGCTGACTCAGCAACACCGATGACTGACGGACGTGTCGCATCAGGTATACCTCATGTGTACACTTCATCGTAGCTGACAGCCTTGTGTGGAGCTGGGTAGGTGCTCATGTCAGCTCACGTTGGAAGAAAAGGAGTTATATCTTTGTCATGCTGCAACCGTCCTGGGACCAGACTCATGTCGATGGACCACTGATCATCACTTATTTAACTGCGATAATAGTAGTATAGATCTCCTAATTTACCTGCTAGATACTCTGTGCACGGGAAATCCACCCCGCTAGTGACTCACTCTCTCCGGTACATCCGGCTTCGATCTTTGCACCGCCTCCATTGAAAAAGGGCGATCAGAGTAATTTTACCCTCTGTTTGAGCGTTCCCAGAGTTTCATTGCATGGGTCCTGCTGCGGAAAATCACAAAACTGCCGTTGAGTGCCTGACGCTGTTTAGGGTAATGGCCGAGCGGTCCAGACAATGGTCGACGATGCCGAGGAGCACTGGGCCAGAAAACTGGATGCTTGCCGAGTTTGTTCCGCAGACTGAAATCGGAGGCGCCGCGTGCAACTAATGGCCTCGATGCCTCCCGGTCGCGGCTCATAAGGTGTTTTTCATTGCATAATTGCCAGCTGTGCCTTTTTCGGAGAGTCAACGACGGTGATCCCCTTCGCCCACCGACGCGCGTCGAGCGTAGTCTTGGTGACCCCATTAAAGGCCCCTTTTAGGTCGAATGCAAGCCGATACTAATTCATACTCGTATACAGCTGCATCTCGCTGCTGTGACTGTGCATGTGATACAACAAAACTGGACATTTTCAACTTGCTTGATCCTCAGCTAATCTATTAGTAGGACTCTACTGGCAGGTTATACTTACCAGACTTTTCTCGATGTATTACCGTCACATACAAGAATAAAGGATCTTCCTTCCATGCCATGAAAGGGCGTGGAAGACGAAGAATAGTTGTGTATGTTATAGCCGGGCATCAAGCGCACAATCGGAGTTGGCTAAAAAGACTAAATATAATGATATAGTCAGCTTTTGCTGAGAACCTACTTATAACATATTTCAAGGTGGGAAAACTGGACATGAATGAAACATAACATTGGGAAAACTCTTGGCATCTTCGACACAAGTATATAATCATAATATGGCTTACTGACTGGTAGAAAGACCAAACATACTAGTGTAACGTAACAAGAATTGCTCTCCCTTTTAGCAAAGGAAGTGTGAGACAAAGCTATTGCTTTTTGATGGCGTATCACTTGCAACGTCAAGAATAGCAACCTTCATACCTCAAAACCTTAAGCACCTCGACGCCTTGATACTTTAATACCTTGGGCTGCGCAATACTGTCCACTTATGTGCCACCGAGGTGAAGGCTGATCTTTCTGTAAGAAATGCCCGGTTTTTATACGTTCAAAGCAAATATTACTAGTAGTTATAGTATTAATAACTTTCAGACTCTATAATATATCTGCACGCACAATAGAGGCTTTTTCACTTCAGATATGCTGTTCCATGCTGGTAAATATTTAGAATAAAAAACCTAAACTCATAATAAATATTATTATATTATATTCTAAAAATCAAACGTTAATAAATGGTTTAATAAGTATAAAATATTTTCTATATTAGTATTAGTTTATTTATATAACATAGACTAATTTAAGATCGTTTTAAATATATCCCTTAAAAACAAGAAATATTTAGGATATATAAGACTAAAAACTACATACTGTAAATTAATCATATTTATTATGTAAGAGGCAACCCACGACTTAACCTATTGATAGAGAAATATAAAAACAGGCGGCAAACTAGCTGTGATGAACAAATCTTTTAATCAAGAAATGTTCCTTATTGTGAACAGCAGAGAGACATAGGCCATACACGTCCCAGGGCCCTTGTCAAACAAGACTAGACAGTTAGAGACAAGCAATCAAGTACAAAGATCGCTCTCCATTTTATAAAGCGTGATTGAACACACCCATGGTTGTATCCCAGAGCTTGATTGTTTGTTCATGCGAGCTTGACGTCAGCACGCGGCCATCCGACAAGAAGGCCACAGACAGGACTTAGCCTTCAAACTAAGCGGAAATATATCCACGTTCTTATGTAGGGATTAGACCAATCAATTTAAATCTAAGATAGAAAACAGGTGCCTAACCATTAGCTCAGCAACAATTCAATGCACATAGAATACAAGAATACACAGAATATATCTTTTTAAATAGCTAGGCTAATATGTAGGTGGCGGCCATTTCACTGATCAGATAGCTACCCGAGGAGGGCTCCTCGATTAGGAAGAAAGTCTGGAGTCTTTGTTAGTGATGAAATTTGCACACCGCTAGTGATCGCCAGGTTAAGAGAAACCCAGTTCCCCACAGTAGTCACTTGCAGCTGAAGTTTCTCCGCTTGGTTGCGAAAAATATTACTGATACTATCATAGTAGGCTCAGCAAGCCTTCAGCCAGCCACAAAGCAGTGGGATCGAAACAAGCGAATGATCAGTTTGTATTGTTGACTCTATCTTAAACAGGTTCTATCAATAATTTACAATTTGAATTATCTTTCATATATTCAATCTAGATAGTCATAGACATGGTCTTGATATAAAATACGATGGTTATGGGATGTCTGCTACCTAATCCATATGACACTGTTTTAATTCTGCGCACCTTTACCTGCCGCTAAACACGCGCCGAGGTCGGGTCTTGTTTATCCTTACCCGCTCACCATCTCAGCAAGTTTTGGTAGTGATAAATTGACACCTGCCAATCACGAGGTAAAATGTAGTGGATCCTTTCTCGTTAATCGGATGTTTGCCCCTCCACCTTTGGGTTGTCTCGCCCATTGTCAGTATCCGATAAGAGGTGGGTACTCACAGTCATGAACCTAACGGAAGGCACTAGGAAAGTGGGAATGACCTCAGATCTGCACGCCGGCTGAAAATGAGCCCCAACCCAGCTTTCAGTCTTGATCGCACCAGCCCGATCGGATCGGGGTTGATGACCTCCGATCTGCGGAGTACAATCTTCTTTTCTCCTCCTATTCGTTGTTTGACGTTAAATTTCCCGTAGTCCAGCGATGCTAATCGACTCTCGCTGCAGGTGCGGCTGTGGAGCTGAAGAATACGGTGAGTCGCTGTCGGCTATCGGAGTGGTACAGAAGAGCTGAAGAAGAACGCTACAAAGTTATTGATTTTTCGAATTCCCATCCTATTTGTTGTTGGCCATCTTATACCCACAATTCAGCAGCCTCCGCTACAGGTGTAGCTGGTCCCGACAGTCGATCTTGGAGATTGTAGCCCCGCATGTTATTCGATGGATTTTTCAATGTGGAAAGATGATTGAGATAAATAGGACGCACCTGCTACCGACAATCGAGCTAGATTCAGCACGGTGTTTCTCGAATCTCGTCTTATTTCCGCAGTAGGTGAGCCTCCCTGACTTACGGAGATTTTGTTTCCGCGGGACTTTCAGAATATTACATTAACACCGACTAGGGCTACTTGCTCTTATCAAATATTCTCCTCCCTATTACAGTCTCCTCAACACGACAAAATAAAAGTTAAATAGAATGTCTTACGACGAACACGACGAAGAATGGCAGATTGAAGCGCAAACGGTATTCAAGGATGTCGAGACCTACCATTGGGGCTACCGGATCGCGTGCCTCAACTGCCCGAAAGCATCGGCCTATTCGGGCCCGCTAAACGGGATTCGGTTTTGGTTCGAGAAGGAACGCTACTATGTGGTGGTGGGCTGCCCGCCCATTATCAGTACTAAGATGGCCGCTGACGGGCGGTGGGCAAAGAACATCTCTAAGAAATGGGACCAGTGGTGGCAGGATACCCAGACACCGCGCAACGCAAAGGACATCTGGGGCTTTACCGAGGACGACAAGAACCTTTATCACGTGAAGGGGTGGGGGAAGGAAGTCCTTGAAGGGTTGGACGATCTCCAGAGGCGGTTGGAGATTGTCCTGCCAGAGGGCTATGAGTTCTACGGAGGGAGCCTGGTCATGCGCATCAAGGAAGGGTTGCGGGCGTTGGATCCCAGCTGGGAGCAGACGGAGAAGGAGTATGATGCCGAGTACGAGCGCGCCCATGCCAAGGATGTCGTGCAGTCAGGCCCAGGAGTTCGCTTTCATCGGGACGGGACCACTACCACTGATAATGGTTGGGGATTCTATTCTTAAATACATCATACATCCGTCGTTTTTTAAAGGTTTTGGACTTTTCTGCCATACTTATCTGGTTCCTCAACCTGAACAGAAGCTTACTCAACTTGTGCTTCTTGGATCATCCGTATTGTTTCAGGGAGCGGCGTGTGGCTGGATGGGCCTTGTATAGGCCTCGGAAAAGACCGCACCAGACCGCACTGCACCGGTCTTTGGTTCTAAGTCTAAGGACCGCCGGGCGGGTTTAGATTATTAAAAACTGCACTATTGCAATTCAGTGCAGTTTTATAGTTTTATAAATAAAATAAACAACTTTATATTTATAATATATATAAATTATATATAGCTAGGTTATATTTTTTATATTTTAATTTTATTAATTATTTTTTATATTATAAAATGTTATTTTTAATAATTATTATTTTTTTATTCAAAAGTTTAGATTGTTTTTTTAATCCTTAAAATCTATTTAGCTTTTTATTTAATCCTATAATAAGATTAGAAGCAAATATTTTATGAAAATATTTTTTAATTAATATCAAAAATTTTAAATCTATATTAAATTCTTATTTTATTCTAATTTTTTTCAATATATTTAAATAAATGCTACTAGTATTGGCTGTTCTGCTACCGGCAACTACTATTTTTTCTGCTGTTGTCGACCGCTTATCTTCCGTCTTCAGCGAGGTCTTTATATACATATCGCACATAGCTAGAAAAAAGCAACTAAATGTCAAGATGCGGGCGGGCTGGATAGTAGAAATAGCAGAGCTGGCTGGGAAGATTTTAATAATTTATTTTTTTATTCTTAACTAGCTATTGAAATCAGATTATTTTTAGATTTATAGATAAATTATAGCTTAGAGTGGCTTAACCTGACCGTTATATCTTAACCTTAACCTGGCCATAACCTGGCGGTCAGATTAAGATATAAAAAATTTTTAACCGTACGGTTAAAATTAGATTAAAATATAACTATTATTTTAACTATTTATATCTGCTGGTTAGAAAGATCAGATATAACAGATAGATTAATAACCGTAGATTAATTTATATAATATATATTTTTTTATATAAATAATATATAAAGTATAATATATTTTTAATTATAATATAGTAATATTTTCTAGTTCTAGTTTATTTATTCGATCTATTTAATCTTATCTATCTATTTAATCTATTTAATCTATTTAATCTGCTTAATCTGCTTAATTTATTTGATCTTATTTATCTACTTAATTTCATCTATCTGCTTAATCTTATTTATCTGTTTAATTTATTTAATCTATTTAATCTGCTTGATCTTATCTACCTGCTTTATTTATACTATCTATTCTATTTGGAAGATAAAATTCTAATATAAAAAATAGTATTTATTATTCAATAGATATATTAATAATATTATACTATTTTTTATACTGTTCAGAACGGTAATCATAATAATATAAAAATTATAAAAACCAGATCTCTATCTTTATTTAAATATATATAATATTTAATTTAAATAAGGCTCATTCTTCTATCGCTGATAATAATCTATTCTTAGAATTATTTTTAAAATTATCTATATTTTTACTTTTACTAATATAAAAGATATTAAGTCTGGATTAAAATTATTAAAAATATTCTAATACTTCCTATTAATAGTAAAATAATCGGTATATATTTAAAGTGTAATTATTCTAATTATATTAGAATAAAAACGGCTCCGGCGATAATAATAGATATTTTAAAAATTATTAAAAAAATATTTAATACTAATATTATTAATTGTAACTAAAAGAAAATCTCTAGCTATTTAATAAAAGATAGAAAACTAATTATAACAGAACTTTTAGTAAGTAAGAATATCAGTATATTTTATAATATTTAAAATAGTATTAATTTGATTAAAAATATTTTCAAAAAGCTATATACTTTTAATATTTAGATATATTTTAAATTTTTTAAATATTTCGGCTGCGGATAAGAATCTCCGATATTTAAAAATATTATAAAAGATTTTATTTAAATCTAATAATAATTTAAAGACTGTCAAAAGTATATTTATAGCCGAATTCTAACTATAATAAAAATAGAATTTTTTTTTAAAATAGTTTAATATTTATAATACCAGTTGATATTATTATTTAATTATATATTTTTTTTAAATTTTTCGAGCTTCGATATCGGATTTAGAATAATTATAATTATATAAATATAATTTTCTATTTGGTAGATTCGATAATAATACTTTCAGAACTTTTAATATATATTATATAAGTTTTTAAAAATCTTCTTCTTTCAGAATATCTGCTTTTTTATTAATCAGTTTAATTAAATAATCCAGATAATTAAAAAGATTATTATAAATATTATAGATTTTATAAATAGTAGATCTATTATTTTTAGATAAATAGAATATAAAAAAAAGAAGTATAAAAGTTTAAGAAGATACTCTATCTATTTTTATTTAATTATAGTAGAATAAAAATAATTAATATTGTTATATCTATAGTACTAAGTAAAATTTTCAATTATTTAATAAAAAATAAATATTTAATAAATTATAAAATAAATTAAGTTCCAGTAGGTTTTACAGTTCAGAAAAAGATAATAAATTAAATTAGATTTTAAATTACTCAATAAGCTGAAACTTTTTACAGTATTAAAAATTTATATTTATAGATTATATAATGTTCTGAATTTATAATAAAAAATAAGTATAATAAGCTATTACTGAAAGAAGACTTTTAGAAGCTGTTTAATTAATTTGAAAAAGATTTTTATATACTATTTATATTAGTTTTTTTTAGAAGGCTTTTAGAATATTTTTTTTTAAAAATTTTCAAAATATTAGAAAAGATTTTGAGACTTCTATTATAATTATTTTATATATATTTAATAGTACTGTTTAAGATTTTAATCTGAAATTTCTGTAGAAAAATATTAACTATAAACTGAATTATATAAATAAAATAGAATATATAATACTAGCTTTAAATAATTTTTAAAAAATTAGAATGAATTAAAGTATTATAAAGCTGAATACTTTAGCTGAGCTGAGTCTAAAGTTTAAAAAAGATTATACTAAATATTAAACTATTATTACTAATATTATTAATTATTATATCTAATAATCAATAAAAAAGATTATATTTATATAAAATTAATAAAATAATTATAATTAGATTCTTATTAATATAAGATTTAAATACTAATTAAAAGTCTAGTAAAATCTTATAGTAATTTATATCTTCTATTAAAAAAATATCTTTTTAAAGTAAGAAATACTTTCTAATTAGAATTAATCTAATAGTTTACTATAATTAATATTTATTCAGTATCTAAAAATTTTAATAACAGCTGTATATATATATCTTTTAATAATTTTAAAAAAACATTTTTTAATCTATATTTAATTAAATAAATCTAATTTTTAATATAAAAATAAAATAATAAGATTAATTATTTATTTAAATTAAATATATTTAACAGTTCCGAATAGTAGACGACAGGTAATAGTATATAATTTAATTTTAAAAATTCTATTTATTATAAATTATAGAAATTTAAAAAAAGTAATAATTAAAAAAATTATTTTTAAAAAATAAGTAAATATCTTTGATAGCGTATTATTAAATATCTGACTAATTACTTATTTAAATATAATTAATAATATTTTTTTTATAATTTTTTTAAAAATAATACCTTATAGAACTAATTTTAATATTTTTGATTTCTGAATATTGTAAGATATAAAAGTATATAATATAGTAGATATAAAAAATTCTATCAGAAAATAATATATTTTTTTAAAAGCTGTTTTATATTATTAATAACTTTTTTTAATTAAAGTAAAATAGTAGTTTTTAAATTTATATACAATCTTTCTAACCAGCAGATATAAATAGTTAAAATAATAGTTATATTTTAATCTAATTTTAACCGTACGGTTAAAAATATTTTATATCTTAATCTAACCGCCAGGTTATGGTCAGGTTAAGGTTAAGATATAACGGTCAGGTTAAGCCACTCTATAACTAACTATACTTATACTCTTAACAAAAGTTTATTAGACAAAGTAAATTTAAAAAACAACCTACGTACTTTAACTGATGTTATATTTACCGTATTGAAAAGATACTAGGGCCTTATTAACTACAGTCGACTATAAACTGCTGTATAAACTGTTTAACAAAATATTAGAATAGATTTTCGATTAATGATTTTTTACTATAATATGTTAAATTAGAAACAATTCCTACCGACGGGCCGGAGAAAGTAAGGTATAATGCCGCTCGCCTTGCCGGCTCTGCCATCGTTCGGGAGTACCATATGATGATTCAGGAGGTCTGAAGTACTCAAACTTGACAACTGGAAGTTATCATCTAGTATCTATAGTGGCCGGCTTGGCGGCGTCGTCTTGCCCACCCGCAACGCAACCGGTCTGCGACTCAATCCTGTATAATAAGCATACAAAAACCAACTAGACATGGCAATCTCGCACACATTCCAGAAAACAAGTCTTGCAGGACTGATGAGAAATCATCAAATCAACCCATACGGCGACACGATCAACAACCTCACCCGGACTAGATCACTAATCACAAAACCATCTTTGTAATCTGTCGCCAATAGCATCGTATAAGTAAAGTCTTCAATTCCAGGTACCAGCCGTATCATCATCATCATTATCATCATCATCGAGAAACAATCTACGGAAATCAACCATGACAGCTTCAATGCAAATGCAGCACCTCGCCGCCGCGGCCCTGCCCGCCTACACCTGTCCCCCGGGGACGAAGATGCACATCCTCAATCTGGGCACGATGAACGTGGACGAAGGATGGTATGTCTACCTCATCCTTTACCCCAATACCTCGAATCAATTCTAACCAAGCAAAGGCTTCTCACCGGCGCCAACGGCAGCTCCGCCAGCAACCCCAACCCGCCCAACAAACGCCGCGACCTAATGCTGATCGCCGGATTGATCGAGCACCCAGAGATGGGCCTGATCTTGTTTGAAACCGGGAGCGCGGAGGATGTTGATCGGGTGGGCTTTCCCTTGCCCTCCACTTCCTACCTAAACATGAACCTAGCCGGCAGACCATATCACTCCACAATACTGATCATCGGATGAAAAGCAATGGGGCCCCCAAGCCACCGACCTCTTCCCGCGCACGCACTACGAGCCGCAGCACCACCTCCCCGCCGCCATCCGCGCCACCGGCCACGACATCCGCGACGTGAAAGCCGTCATTATGGGCCACCTGCACCTGGACCACGCCGGCGGCCTCGAGCACTTCCAGAACACGGGAGTGCCCATTTACGTCCACGAGGAGGAGTTCAAGCACGGCTGCTGGGCGGCTGCGACGGGGGCGGATGGCGGCGTGTATCTGTAAGTTTTCTCCCTCCCTTACCCCACCCATTCGAAAAATGCTAACACCCCGCAGAGCAGATTACCTCTCGTTAGACACGCTTAACTGGCAAACCTTCTCGGAACCCCAGCTCGACCTCTGCACGGGGATCACCCTCTACCACTGTCCCGGACATACGCCGGGGCTGTGCATCATGCAGGTGAACCTGGCCGCAGACGGGACCTTCATCTGGACGACGGACCAGTTCCATGTGCGGGAGAACTTCGAGCGGAATCAGGCGCAGGGGTGGCTGCTGCGGGATCATCGGGCGTGGGTGGCCAGCGGGAAGTTCGTGGCCCGGTTGCAGCGGTTGTTCCGGGCGCGGTTGATCTTCGGGCATGATTACGAGACGGCCGATGAGTTGATGAGGGGGAAGGATGTCTATGAGTAGGGGGCTGGGGTTGGTGTCCAGGTAGTTTGGGGAGGGGTGGTGGTGTAGATTAGGAGTTAGGGACTGTATATACTGGGTAGACAGTGGGAGGGTTAGGGTTAGGGAACGCTTAGAAGTTTGATGCTGAAGCTGAAGCTGAAGCTGAAACAAAACCCACCGCTTGAAAGAATCAAATCAAGGTCAAGGACATACAACCGCTCAATCCGCTATCCATACAGGTTACGAAACAAATCAATAAACTCCCGGACTCCCCCGCGTCGCCGCATTAAATGCCCTCACACACGACCAACTCCCCATCCCCTTAACCGGGCCGACCGCGTCCAACGGATCCCACCCCACCGCGTCCACCTCCACATCCTCATCAGGCGTAGGCTTCTGCAGCCGTTTCGTCCGCAACAACATCTCCAGCTTCCTGCGACGAATCCCTTGCAGTTTACGGAGGAGATCATCTGCCGTCAGATCTTCCTCTGCATCCCCACCACCACCACCCCCAACCCCACCCTTCCGCCCCGGAACCAAAACCACCGCCAGAAAGCCCACTTCCGCCACACACCTCCCCCTCAAATCCAACAACAACGCTTCCTCCGCCAACGACGCCAACCAATTCGAATCAAACGGGCCCTCGCGATGCGGCCAGCTCCGCATCAACCCGATCGCGCGCCACCGCACACGGTAATCATCACACAGAATGGCCGCCAGATACAGCGGGGGGAGGACACCCGTATCCACGGTAAAACTCGGCCGATGGTCCGGGAACGTGGCCATCAGGGCCTCCACCAGCTCGCACGTTTTCTCAAGATCGGCGCGGTAGTGCGCCAGCGCGGCGCGGTTGCTGCCCAGCAGGCACGAGTGCAGGCAGACGCGCAGGCTGACGAGGTGGAGGTTGATGATGTCGGCGCCGCGCTGTTCTTTAGCGGTGAGGTGGGGGTAGGCGTGACGGTAAAACGGGCGAAACCGCTGCGCGAAGAGGTTCGCTTCGCTCCAGACGGCGTGTTGCTGGGTTTGGAGGGCAGCGTAGTTAGCGGAGATTTGGGGTGCGGTGAGCCCCATGCTCGGGGCGCTGAAGCGGTAGGAGGTGCGGAGGAGGGTGTCGAAGGCGGCGCGGGCTTCGTGGAGGGATTGGAAGGGTTGCGTTGGAGATTTCGGGTTGGTGGTGGTGGTGGTGGTGGTGGTGGTGCGATCATGGCTGGAAGGCTGGGTGAGCGGGTGAAGGGGCTGCAGCATCGGGAAGATGCGGTCGTAGTGCGAAGCCAGGATGTCCAGGTGCGCGAACGCGGTGAAGATGCACTGCTCGACTAATCCCCGGGACGAGGCGCGATTCCCGAACTCGCCGTGCTGCTGCAGCTCCTGGAGAATCAGTAGGCCGCTCCGTAGATGTGCGAAGCCGCTGTCGTACTGCCCGCGCAGCAGGTCCGCCAGCACGAACAGCAGACAGCACACCAGGATGACCTCGCGGAAGCGCGGGTCCTGCGAGGCGCTGCGTCGGTTGAGCAGGGTAATGGCCCGCGCCAGCTGGTCCTGCGCGAACTGGTGCCAGGGATTCTCGGCGAGTAAATCGGTCGGCGTGGCCAGCGGCATCCCGTTGGCCTCCGAATTCTCGTGGATGGCGCTCAGCGCAACGATGGCGTGGTAGACGGGCGGCTCGGAGCGGCTCAGCTGCAGCACGAGCTTCTGCCACAGGGTGGAGTCGAAGAACTCCAGCAGGGTGGGCACCGTGTGGTGCTGGAAGTAGGCCACACACCGCCGCTCGTCCGAGGTCATCGTCCAGTCCAGCCGGTCCAGCGCCTGGCTGGGCCCGCCGGCCAGCCCCAGCAGCTTTTGTGGAGCTGTCAGGGTCTTATTCTTTCCGGTCGGTTTGAGTTTAGGGGGCAGTCGGTGGACGTCATAGCCGTCGCATTGTCGACCCGTAGATGAACAGTTACGGCATGCTACGGGGGTCTCGTCGCATTTGATGCGGCGGGCCCTGATTGGAATGATAAGTAGCCCGCTACCAAACGATATTACAGGTTAACTGGCTGCTACTCACCGACAGGTCCGACAGCCGGCTCTGGAGCGCGTCCGACTAGGTTTGGGCTTTGTGGCTGCTGGCTGGCTGGACGAATGCATTGCCAGATGACGACGACTCGCGATCAGGACAGGGTCCAGGGATGATACTCCGGAGGTCCGGAATTTTAGGGTTCGGCTGCTGTGAGGGAAAAGTTGGGGCTCAGGATCGCATGACTAATCCACGGGCTGCCAAAGTGACTATAAAGCACTATGTGGGGCCAAGCGCCGGTGTCCACGTCAAAATCGTAATACGAAAGCGAGCGATTGGTCTGATCGCGAAGGTATCGGAGAGGTTGAGTCTGGCCTAACTTAACTGAGGTTAGGGTTGGAGATGTGAGTGGAGGTGGGAAGTTATGATTGCTGAGCTCAAGGGTCGCTGAAACGTGTTCCTCAGTTGAGCCTCAAGGCCGTCAAGATCGGATACCCACGCCGCCGCCCTCTACCACTGCGCGCGCCTCCTCATACTTCCAAGAAGAAGGCCTCAACACGAGGATCTGCAGCTTTCGAGGAGAGAGCAGGACCGGCCCTGGTAATCAGTCGCCAGATCGATAATCTTCAATCTCACCACCGAAACAGTCTCTCCACACCTACTGCTACAACAGTACTCCAGATTATACAAGATGATAGGCACTCTCATTCTGGCCTTTGTGCCCCTCCTACTCTTCTATCTTTACAGAAAACTGCACTATCACCGATTCACCCAATTCTCCCCCTACCCGCAGCCCCAGCCTTCGCTAATCTGGGGCCACCTCAAAACCATCCACGAGTTTACGTCCAAAGGTGAACCCGAACGACATATCGGTACGCTTCCCGTAGTTCGGTACTCGAACCCGCTTGAGTATGTGCTGATCCCTCACAGACGAAGTCCTCCTCGAGATCAAAGCGCACCTGAACCACCCGCCTCTCTTTGTGCTCGACCTCCGGCCAATCCAATACCCACTCTGCGTCATCGGCGATCATGAAGTGGCCGAGCAGATCTCTCGCAGCTCGAAAGAGTTTCCCTACAGCATGACAAAATCGCCGACGATCAAGGACCTGCACAGTCTTATTGGAATGGGGTCGATCCTTGGCGCAAATGTATCCAACCCTAAGCCTCGATCGGATTCATGGAGACAGAATGCTGATATGTTACAGGGCGAAGAATGGAAGACCCTCCGCAAGCGCTTCAACCCGGGCTTTGCGCCGCAGCACCTGATGACCCTCCTCCCGCAAATTGTGGCCATGTCGCGCCGGTTCGTCGAGACTCTGGACCGCCACGCCAAGTCCGGGGAGGAATTCCGGCTGGACGTACCCTGTATCAATCTCACCTTTGACATTATTGGTAAGCACAATGCCCCATTCTTCCGATCGAAACGACCCTTAGAGTAAAATATCTCCATGAAAACAGGCGCAATAGTAATGGACACCGACTTCCGCGCGCAATGCGCTCCGCACCAGCAAAGCGAGATCACCCAACTCTTCCGGGACCTGGTGCGCGGGTACCCGATGCCCGGCGGCATGAGCTGGGATAGCATCAACCCCTGGGCCAGATTGAAGCGCCGGTGGGTTACGGTCCGATTCGACAAGTACCTGCGCGCGCACATCGAGCAGAAATTCGCCGACCTGCGGACCACACCCACAGGTGGAGGTAAGTCCTCGCGAAGCATCCTCGCCCTCAGCCTGCAGGACATTGCCAGCCTTGATGACAAGGTAATCGCCCAGACGAGCGACCAGCTCAAATCGTTCCTGTTCGCCGGATATGACACCACGAGCATCGTCCTGCAGTGGACCTTCTATGAGCTCAGCCGCACCCCGCGCGCGCTGCAGGCCGTCCGGGCGGAACTGGCCGCGCTGTTTGGGTCGGATCCCGCCCCGACTGTGGTCTGGGAACGGTTGACTGCACCAGGGGGCGAACACCTCCTCAACCAGATGCCGTACACTTCTGCGGTGATCAAGGAGGTTCTCCGTGTGCATCCCCCCTCCGGCAGCGCGCGCTTGAGCGCCCCAGACACGGGGTTTACGGTCCAGCTCCCCGGTGGTGAGGCACTGTGTCTCGATGGAATGGTCGTGTATAACTGCGCGACGCTGATCCACCGCGATGAGGCTGTGTACGGCGCTACCAAGGACGTGTTCCGGCCTGAGCGGTGGTTGGATTCATCTGATCACGAGAAGCAGGAGATCCCCGCCAGCGCATGGCGGCCGTTCGAGCGCGGGCCCCGGAATTGCATCGGGCAGGAGCTGGCGACTCTCGAGGTTCGGGTGATTCTGGCGTGTACGGTGCGTCGGTATGATGTTACGAAGGTTGGCTTGGGGGAGGCTGTGAGGGATGAGAAGGGGCAGCCCGTGATGGGGGCGCAGGGGCAGTTTGCTGTCCGCAGCCAATTGTTTAATGTGAGTTTATTCTCTTATACCCTGTTTTGGTGGGAGGGGGGCTGACCTGATTGGAATAGACTATGCAGATCACGGCAAAGCCGGTAGATGGGACGAGGGTCCGAATTGCGTTTGCTGCGGAGGGTGGTGCTGGTTCGTTTTAGATGTGTGGATTGTGTCTATATTACTGAACTATTAGAGAGATTTGTTCTTGGCTGGGTGACCAAGATGGGACTTGGAGGACATATAGGTATCAGTAGGAACATTGCACAAGCGGTTATTGTATCCACTGGGCCAATCAAAGCTAAAATATCCTCTGTATCATTTGCCTGAATCATACGGTACCGATCTAGTTAGAAGGCCCTCCAGTATCGGGGCTGAGGCTCTCCAGCCCAGACCAGCAACGCAGATTTGCCGTCTCATCCCGAAGCCAAATCCCGAGACCCGACTAATTGCAAGGAAAGCACTTCGCCTTCAGCCTCAAAACAAAAAAGGTGCACGGAAAGAAGATCTTTCTAGAAGCACATGACAAATCCCACCCCAGCATGAATTTCGAATACTTCGCATGTTGTAGAATGTAACTACCCCCCCCGGTGGAGAGACCTCCAAATCCAGGGTCACCGGCCATCGATCATCAGATCTTCTTATCTACACCGGTAAGGGTAAAGGTAAAGAAAGGTAAGCTTAACCGCCCTAGGGTTAGAGTCGCCCAGCATGCCGACCGTCGGACTCAAACCGAACACCAATTCCCCAAAATAGCAGTCCACAATCTACCCAAAAGCCTATAACTTAGCAAGTCAGCAGAGATTAGGGGCCTGACATCAGGCCAAAACATCTCAGGCTGAACTTAGTGCAGTTTCAATCTCATCTCGACCGGAGCGATAGAATAATCAATCGATTGAGGAGCCGCTCTTACTAACCCTGATCAGGAAGTCGGTCTTCCGTTTCAGGTAAAGTGTAAACATCGCCCCGCACTAGTCTTCTCTGTAAGTACTAAGCGAGGCCAGTCACGGGTGACAGCCAGTCTTCACAACAAATAAACTCCGCTCGGTAACCGTCCTTATGCCCGGGTCCCGGTCTCGCCATGCGGTGCTGCACTGCACCAGCTAGATAACCGGTTAGGGCTTCCCTTCCCTTCCGACCCAATCGACCCCCTCCCGTGCAGCAAAAAGGTTAAGTCCCTGACTCCACAACAGGGATAGCTTCACGACCACGACCAAGTCCCGATTCCGTGATGATCGCGATACCTCCAATCATGATTCACCCTGCAGAACAAGGGTCATGATGATTGGAGTCAAAGGATTGGGGGCTACTAATCTCTTGTGGCCACGCGAGCGTGAATCTCATTTTCTGCAGGGTGTACTTCAAGGGTTGGAGCGGGAGAGAAGACCCCCTCTCCTTCCCCACCTGCTCTAATAGCTTATTCATGCCCGTTGGCGATTAGGGATATATCCCAACTTTCGCTACGTACTGGTGCTATATATAGAGGGATCTATCCACCCGATTGTGTGCAGATCTACACATAGTTTTTGAGTTCTCAACGTCCTAGACACGAAAAGTCAAAAGAGGTCACCAGCAGAGATGATGACGAGTCCATGGACCCTGGACCCCGCTGTGATGCTGGACTACCTCGCCCTTCTCGATGCATCATCATCATCATCATCATTATCATTCTCATCGCCGTCCCCTTCTCTACAGTCTCGATCTTCCACACCCTCACAAGCATCGACTATCCTCGACCCAACAAGCCCAATCCACTCCTCCACCGACGACGAATATCACAACACTACGATCCACAACCACGCCCAACCAAAGAAACAACCCACGAACCCCCCGCGTAAACGCGGCCGGCCGAGGATGATCGACCAAACCACGGGAGAAGTCGACGACGCAGCTACGAAAGAGGTAAGCGAGCTCCCCTCCAGGCCCCCAACCAGACCCCCTACCCCCCATTAAAACAATCAAACGAAACCACAACCACTAACTCCCCCAATAGCGCCGCAAAATCCAAATCCGCGTGGCGCAGCGCGCCTACCGCTCCCGCCAGCAGGAACGCACCGCCCTGCTGACGCGACAGGTGCACGAGCTGGAGCAGAAGCTGCTGATTGCGCGGAATATCTACCTCAACACGCACGCGGCGGCGGTGACGGGGTGCGTCCATCCCACCGACCCCGATGGGAGTAGGGGTGGCGGCGGAGGGTATTCGCGGGTCCTGCAGGAGAATCTCCGGCTGTTGCTGGCGATTACGGAGGTGGATGCATCCCACAAGGGAGAGGCGACGGGGTCCGAGGGGGACGGGGAGGAGGATGGGTGTGGTAGTGGTGGTGGAGGACGACCGTTCGAATCGCTGGACAGCGTGAGGGCACGGGCACGGGCACGGTATCCGCTCTACCCGGGCCATGGGAATGGGCTGTTGCCGTCGACGCCGGAGGGGTTGTTGCCGGGGGGTATGTTTGAGGATCCATTTGATGTGGATCTTTGAGAAGGCGCTTTTTAGGGGAGCGGATAGGTGGGGTGGGCGTTTTGGGGGTACATTCTCTGCGTGCAGCGACTAGCGATGCCGTTTTGTTTCTTGCATACGGTCAGCCGATTCTCTCGACAATCCATGGAATTATGGAATGCATGGAAGGTTTTCTTTCTGTTATTTATGGGCTGTATCATCCCTGAAACAACCACATACAACCACAGGGTATAGAAAACAGAGCTTCCCATCCGCTCAGCCGTACTTAAGCCCATTATAGTACGCAGTCAATTCTCAATACACCCTGCGCTCTAAAATGGCGCAGGATTTAGTCTTAAGATAAGTATAAGTAATATAGGTAAGAAGTTTAGAGACTGGAGTGATAGAGGTAAGAACAGGATAAGAATAGATAAGAACTGGAGCAAAAAATTCTCACCCAGATCACCCAGATCCCCTACTCCTCACTTTTCCTTCATCGCCAGACTCTGTACTATAAATAAGTACCCAGGGCGCTGGTAATGTCTGCTGTCTTTTTTTCCCTCTGACCTAAAGACACTCTGCTATACGAAGAAGATGCTTCCAGAAGACCTGCAAAAAAAACTTAACGAAAAACTTGCATATATTACGTCACGTGGCTTAATATATGAGTATTAGAAAGAAAGAGAAAATAAGAACAACTCTATATATTTTAGACCGCTCACTTCGGCTACTGCTTTCCTGAAAGGTAAATTGGGTGAATGGCAATCCGGTCAACGTCCCTCCGTGCAATTTGCCGATGAAGAAGGAGCCCCTTTTCCAAGTATCTTAACTCAACCTCAGACGGTGCTGGCGTTCCATTTTTATAGCGCCAGCGTTGTTTTCAACCGGCCTTGCTTTATAGTTTCTGAAATCGATAAGAAAACAGAAATCCGCTTTCCTCACCCCGACTCTGGAAGCCAAAGAACACCGACCTGCCTCTCCACCTCGATGAGAGTGGTGTCTCTACTCCCTAGCCAGCCGGATATGGAATGGGTTCTTCGCGTCGCCCCATGGTGGTGTCTCTTACATTTCATGGTTCAAGCCACAACCATCCTGCTCATCCACATATCTACGACTCTCGTCACGGCTAGCGCTTCAGAAGCTTCATTTTCTGTGATTCTAGACTCCACAAAGAATGCCATTCGGTGGCTGTTCGTCTTCGGGAGCTATAGCGAAGCAGCATCACGGGCCTTCTACCGCTGTTATTCTTGCTTTCAATTTATCGCAGTGGCCAAAGTAGTAGATATCAGTGTCTTAGCAGGTGATCTCGAGATTATGAAACTACAGGCGAGTGATTCGCCGCTAGGGGTCCAGTTAGCAACGGCCTCGGAGGGTACAGACGCGGCATCCTCTTACTCAAATTCAGGCCCGTTCGGCTCGCTGGGCTCGTCTTTCGATATACAAGGCCGTGATTCTGACTCTTCACGTGCAAATTTCGGGGATATGTTGATGTCGCTCATAGATCAAGGCTCTCAGTCAGATTCGCAGAGTATTCCTTTCACTAAACCTGGGCGTGCCTCATAAGAGAATACACAAGTTTTCCGTTTCCTGAGTATTCGCCTTGTTCAGTGCTCTCTTTCTCAGCAGCAACGTGAGCCTCTTGTGAGCCTCTCGTTCAGCCTACACTCTAATGTCTTTGACATATGCATTCAGACCCTCCTTCCAATACTCATTAGAGGCTATACCACATAGGCTTATAATGGATCAAGTAGCGGACATCTCGGGGGCTGCTTACCATATTCGCCACCTTCCTCACATTCACCCATACGAATATTATGATTTTACGCTGGGTCTTTATTAGACGTAGTGTATCATGTTTCCGCACATGAGAGGCAACAACGGTCGCCATTGCATAATTCATGAGACGAAACTTTCATCGGAGATCTAGAAGCCGACACTCCTATAACCACAATATGTATTTCCAAGCAGACTCTCAAAAACGCGAAAAACCTCTGCCTCATCCGCTCTAAACAAATTCGCAGACATGCACCGGCTTCTTCAAATTCTGTATCCAAATTGCAATATTCTCTACAGAATGACGAGGAATGTCTTTCCTTACTCCCTTGTTGATGAAGAAATTCGGATCTCAGTCTTTGTAGCGCTGCTCGAGATCCAGACCATCGTCAAGCATCACGTCGCAGGCTTTTCGGAATGCTTAACCTGAGGGCGTCATCAGTGACACGTGGCTGCAGCCATTCGTTATAATCTTTAACTGCTAGGTCAAAGGGTTCGGGGTTCCCAATGGATACGCAGTAGATGTTTCATCTGTCTTTCAGACAACCTTTTCATTGCCGGGACCGGAGACCCTGAAGACAGAATGTTGGCATTGATTGGGGGATACGGACCGTCCCGGCCAAGGTAAGGATCTCCCTTGCACTTGTCTTTTTCGATTTCCTGTTGCTCTTCCATGCAGTGCCTTTAACCTAGTGTGTTACAGTACAGGACGTCAAGAAGTAAGGACAGGCTAACAGGCTTAGTATTATGATAAGCAGGTTCATAAGGAGCCTGCATGTACAATACACAAGTAGTTTAAGCCAATTTTTACAGGACCTGGTGCCGAGTAAGAACCTCAGCCCGTCGCTTGGATATAAAAGTAGCGGAAGAAAGTGTTAGCTTGCTACATTCTTTAGGCAATCCCAAAATCCAGTATTTAACATACTCGCATTTTGATAGAAAATCATATATATTCTCTTTAAGTTGCCAATACTGCTACGAAACAAGATATTATATTTATTAAAGGTTATTTTAGTATCGAGCCTCATACAGAAATATTGGTATTCCGAGGCTATTCCGAATATGTTTTAGTGTCTCCTGGCGGTGAGCCAAGAAAATCACTCGAAGAGTGGAGGCGGTTGCACCGGTTTCGCAACGTACTGTACGCCAGAAAAACAGCGAGCGAGCCGAAGCTGTACGGTCCAAATCGGACATTGTTGTCTGTTCAGATGCCTCTGGACGCGAGAGCCACCTGGATGAGGCTGTTGCAGCACTGGACAACGACCTGCAGGTCGTTGAATCCAACCAAGTCCAAGTGGGGCCAATGGATCGGTGGTCGGTGCACGTTGCGGAGCTCATTGGCATCCTCTACGCTACTAGCATGGTGTGCATGCTCGCCCATCAGGGTTTTACCAACAGACCAAAGCAAGCAACAATCCTGTGCGACAGTCAATCAGCCTTGCAGGCAATTCGGAATCCAAGGAACAAATCTGGACAGCGGATAATCCACGCGATCCTTCAGGCCGCTACGGAAGCCCAAGCAGCAGGCATCGCACTCCGCCTTCAGCGGGTGCCAGGACATTGCGATAACCCAGGAAACGATGCTGCAGACCGACTGGCTAAGGACACTGCGGGCCCAGGCAAAACCTACCCCTTTCGCTCGCTACTCTCGAGGGAAAGTGCGCGCCTCCGGGGTAATATCCTTGATCACTATGGAGGTCGTCTAACAAAGGCGGCCATCTACGGAAGATTGACAACACCCTGCCAGCAAACTACACGAGAAGGCTGTACGGGAGTCTGCCGAGGAACCGAACCGAGCGTACCTGTTGACACAGCTACGCACAGGCCACAATTGGTTATCTGCCTACGCTAAGACCTTCGGATTTCGCGACAATGATAAGTGTGTGTGCGGCGCGCAAGAAACAGTCACCTACGTGCTGGTGGACTGCCCGGAATCAAGGGGTATTCGAAGGAAGCTAAGGGGTATTCGAAGGAAGCTAAGGGGTAAAATGGGAGACACATTTGGCAGTGTCTCGAGTCTGCTGGGAGGCTCAACCGACGGTAATGAAGGTAAGCCAGACACCGTCACACGGGCTAGGACAGTTCAGGCTGTACTAGACTTTGCTGAGGCGTCACAACGGTTTCGGAGTCGCGCGCCAAGAGGGCAGTTTAACAATGTGAACGGCAATTAGGCCACGGCAGGCCTTGACGAGGCCCTAAGTTCGTTTCCAGAAAGTGGAAAGCTCTACATGTACGTACGCACGGATATTTATAGTTGTTGTAGCCTGCATATCGCTTTCCATTGCGAGGGGTCAGGGTAAATGACATCATCCATCCATCCATCCATCCATACTGTACGCTAGAACATCGGAAGGATAGAATATGATGGAAAGTAGCATACTGTATACAGTAGCAATGGTGATACAGTCAAGTGTAGAATATAGCGTGTCATGATGTGTAAGACCAAAATGTCTTTGTAGAATGCATGGCGAACCAAGCTAACCCGTTAAGGGTTTCCTTACGAAAAGGTATCCGTGGAGGAGAGGAAAGTAACAGGAGGTGAATCAGACGGCCAACGATCCAAATTGTCAATACCAACAATTCCATCATCTTTAGTATAATTTTGCAACAGCTCCATCATAATATTACCAACTATATTTGCATGGCTAGAATTTTTCTTGGTTCGTAAAGTACACCTTTCAAGACGGCCTAAATCTCCGTCAGCCTAAATTCAATTAGGGTTTGCATGGAGTCAGTGATACCAATCCTAATGTGGTCATTGGTGTCCATCAAAATCCCAGAGGAGCCCAGAGGCCCTGGGTTTCAATGTAGCAAAGGCCGTTCAAAATCTGTATATCCATCATTATTATGTGCATCCACTAGGGTCAGGGTCAGAGAGCGGACTTGGGTCATTATGGCATTCAGCTGTTCCTTATCAGGGTAGTGACGGCAAGCCACAATATGGCCGAGAGTCAGAGGCATAAAATCACCTATAGTAAAAAGACCCTCAGTGGTAGCGAAGGCATCTGTTGCTGACGCGATATTTCGTGTTTAGTGAATAGGAGTCTGTGAAGAAGCTCATCAAGTTCGTCCCCGAAGAATGTCTTAAGGAAACACGGCTGGTTAGGCTTGGATTTCTTTGCAACAACTACCGTTTGTCCAGCCAGGTCGCACTCGTAGATCTTTTTTAATTTGTTCCATGGTTATTCGTGTTTGAATCTCTGGTAGTTGATTTGATCAAATTAGCTTCAGTAGAAGATATCTTATCATGCGTACTTTTCCGTTTCTTTAGTGGTGCCGTCGG